CTTCCTGGATCGTTGGTGGTCTGTAGTATTATTTTGTAATAAGTTTTTTTGTATTTTTTACTTGGTCACTCACTAAGGTCTTGGTTTTTAAGTAATTAAGCCTGGTCAAGGCAGTGGTAAATGTAATATATTAATATAGTGTTTTGTTAGTGTAATATATTGAGAATTGTGAAGTCAAGGGATCTCACTCTTCTTGTATTAGTCTTATATTTATAATGTTGTTTTGAGTGATGTCCGCTGGTTTTGTCTTGTGTCTTCCGGTTTCGAATAAAGCTAGATATACATCAACGTGGCTCTATCGTCTAGTGTGTAATAATAAAAACATCAATCCATTACATTTGGCGACGAGGATGGGATCATCCACAGAAAAAGAGCACATGCTTACTTAAAAAGAAGCTTACTAGAGCATACTGGCTAAGTATTTCTAGGAAAATGGCGCTGTATGGCCAAATAAAAGAATTTAATTCGAATGACGAAACCATTCATGATTATCTAGATAGGTTAAGCTTTTACCTTGAAGCTAACGACGTGACGATAGAAGCCAAAAAGAGAGCTGTTTCGTTAACAGTCATAGGGCCTCAACAATTTAGGCTATTAAAGGACTTATGCGCACCAGCTTTGACGGTAGGACTCGTCAACCAAACGAATCAATATCAGAATATGTTGCTGCTTTACGTCATTTAAGTGAATTCTATGAATTCGGGAACACGCTGTCCGACAGACTATGTGAAAAGTTTGTGACAGGTGTAAACAGCCCTGATGTTCAAAGAAAGTTGCTTCTCGAGTCAGATCTAACTTTGGAAAAAGCAATACAACTTGCAACTTCATTCCAGCAGTCATCCGATGCAGCCAGATCCCTGGCACCCTAAGGGGTCCATGCAGAAGACAGCAGGTTAGTCAACAAACACCAACCCCATCAGAGCAGTTCAACTTATGCTAAACAGCCTGCAAGTTCAAATCCTAGATCTAAATCTAGTAATAATTATCAAAAATGTCATCGATGCAAAGGTCCCCATGCATCTCATCAATGCAAGTTCAAGTCTGCAACTTGTTATAAGTGCAGTAAGCAAGGTCACATTGCCAAGGCCTGCTTTGCAAAGTCTTCGTCTGTTGCTAAATCTAGCCAGTCAAGACAGTACCGCAACCAAAGGCAGCACTATGTTAACTCTCACCAAGACTACCTAACCCAACCAATGAACCACTCTACCTGTGAAAATGCTCAAACTGATTCGCAGCCGGATTTCAACATGTTCTCTGTGAAATCAATAAGTCATGCTCCGATCAATGTACCAGTTAATATCAACGGTAAGAGCATCAGCTTCCAACTTGACACTGGAGCATCTCTAACAGTCATCACAAAGAAGGACTTTGACGCTGTCACAGGAGGATCAGTGCCTCTACAACCATGTCACAAGTGCCTAACAACATACACTGGTGACAATGTTCCGGTAATAGGAGAGTGTATGGTTCATGTAAGTTATAATGGTCAAAGTGTTAAACTTCCTCTTCTTGTGGTTGAAGGAAATGGACCACCATTACTAGGTAGGAACTGGTTAAATGATCTTAAGTTAAATTGTGAGAGTATATTTTCAGTGATCAATGCAATAGATAAAGTTACATCTGAAAATGAAAGTGTTTTTGGTAATCCTGGATTACTAAATGATAGAACAGTGAAGTTAAGCATTAAAGACACAAATCCAAGATACTGCAAAGCTAGAGTTCCACCTTATGCAATGAGGAATAAAATTGAAAATGAGCTAAGTAGATTGGAATCTAATGGCATCATAAAGAAGGTAGACTATTCCGATTGGGCAACGCCCATTGTGCCAGTGTTAAAGAAGGATGGTTCTGTAAGAATTTGTGGAGACTATAAAGCTACACTGAATAAGCAAATAGAGCTAAATAGGTACCCTATTCCTAACATTGAGGAAATTTCTTTGAATTTGGCAGGAGGAGACAAATTCACTGAATTAGACTTTAGTCATGCTTACACTCAACTAGAACTGCATCCAGATTCAAAAGTCTATACGACAATAAACACACATAAAGGACTCTACCAATATGAAAGACTATGTTTTGGCATATCATCCAGCCCTGGAATTTTCCAAGCTGTCATGGACAGTATTTTTAAGGATATTCCAAATGTTTGAGTTTACTTTGACAATGTGTACATAACTGGTAAGAATGACACTGAACATCTTAAAACACTTGATAAAGTCTTGAAAATAGTTGGTGAAAAAGGTTTAAAGATAAACAAAGATAAATGTCAATTCATGCTGACAGATATTAGTTTTCTTGGTTACAATTTGAGCAAACAGTGTCTCAGACCTCAACCTGAGAAAACAAAAGCCATTAAAGAAGCACCCAAACCTGAAAATACCCAACAGCTAAGAGCTTTTTTGGGCTTGATAAATTACTATGCGAAGTTCATAGGGAATCTGTCTGATAAACTATCACCACTGTACAAGCTGCTGCAGAAAAATGCAACTTGGCACTGGGGTAAACAACAAGATGCTGCTTTTAATGCAGCAAAAGAAGCTTTGTCTTCTGACACCTTACTAACTCACTATGACCCAGGGAAAAGACTTATCTTAACATGTGATGCTTCACCAGATGGTGTAGGAGCAGTTTTATCACACATAGATGAAAATGGTGACAGGCCCATTGCTTTTGCCAGTAGATCTTTGAACCAGGCTGAGAAAAAATATTCTCAGTTAGATAGGGAAGGCTTAGGCATCATTTTTGGTGTTAAGAAATTTCACAAGTTTCTGTTTGGTAGAGAGTTCTCCATGTTTACAGATCATAAGCCATTGCTGGGTTTATTTGGGTAAAACAAACCCCTGCCTGAGCATGCCTCACCAAGGGTTCAAAGGTGGGTTATCACACTAGCCGCATACAATTATGAATTGAAATACAAACCTGGATCTGAGAATAGTGCAGATAGTCTTAGTCGTTTACCTTTAAAAAACCAAAGCCTTAGTTATGTACCAGAAGATGTATTTGTTCTTTTCACTATCATGGATAACTCCAATATAAATGTGAATGATGTTAAAAGAGAAACACAAAAAGATGAGTGCTTGATAAAAGCATATGAGTACTGTAAGAATGGTTGGCCTGAAGAGTCAGTGAATGATGACGTAAGGCCATATAAAATAAGAAAAATAGAGTTACGTCTAGAAGATGGATGTATACTATGGGGGTCAAGGGTTATTATCCCTAAAATGTTACAAAAAGAAGTTTTAAGAACTTTACATGATACTCATCTTGGTCCTTCCAAAATGAAGAGTCTAGCACGATCGTGGTTCTGGTGGCCACATATGGATGCTGATATTGAAAAATATGTAAAGCTTTGTTCAAGCTGTGCACAACATTCAAATCAACAAGCTACAGCACCTTTGCAAAACTGGGACTGGCCAATCGAACCATGGAAACGTATACATATAGATTTCGCAGGACCCTTCATGAACAACATGTTCTTAATTGTTATTGATTCACATTCTAAGTGGTTAGAAGTTAAAATCATGAACACAATCACTGCAAGTGATACCATTATTGAACTTAAGGAAATATTTTCAACTAATGGATTACCTGATCAAATTGTTTCAGATAATGGGCCTAGTTTCACTGCTCATGAGTTTAAACTGTTTTGTGTAGCAAATGGTATTGAGCATATAACCACATCACTCTATCATCCTGCTGGGAATGGTTTGGCTGAAAGAGCGGTAGGCATATTCAAAACCGCTATGGTAAAAATGAGTACCGGTAACAAATTTTCTCTCAGGGAAAGAGTAAACAGGTTCTTAGCCAAATACCGCACAACTCCTCATATAACAACAGGTGTTGCACCATGCGAATTGTTATGTGATAGGAAAATTAAAACTCACCTTGACCTACTACATCCAACTGTTCAAAGGTCTGTTTCCCAACATCAACATACACAAAAAGTAAATCATGACAAAACATCAATTGAAAGAGAATTTGGAGTTGATGATAATGTGTATCTGAGAAATTATGGGAGAGGGGAAAAACGGATGCCATGTCAAATTGTTCAATGTACAGGACCTGTGTCTTATAAAGTAAAAACAAATGATGGACTTATTGTCCATAGACATGCAGACCAGTTAAAAATAACGTGTGCAGATAATAAGTGTGAATCTATCAATCCCACCAAATCTGAACAGTTCACACCAACTCAGTTTGTTCCACAACCAAGTTCTGTTGATATGAGCGAACCAAGTAGTCTAGAGTCAGAAAATGTAAATTCTGGAATTAATTATTTAGATCCTGGACGTCCTGAGCTAGAGAGTCCAGATGGTCAGAATCTTGAGTCACCAAATCAAAAGCCACTGAGAAGGTCAAACAGGACAATCAAAGTCCCAAATGGTTAGACCTATGATTTTAAAGGTCAAAAGGACTTTGACATCATTGTTTTGTATTTTAATTATGTTGTAGCTTATTTTGCATTTGTTTGTAAGGGTGTAATCTACCAAATGATTCAAATCATATAAGGCATGTTACAATATATTTGGTGATTTTAGGATACTATCATTTGTTCTATTGAGAGCTGTGTTGTTGTTTACTAAGGGTAAAGGGATGTAATATATTGAGAATTGTGAAGTCAAGGGAACTCACTCTTCTTGTATTAGTCTTATATTTATAATGTTGTTTTGACTGATGTCCCCTGGTTTTGTCTCGTGTCTTCCGGTTTCGAATAAAGCTAGATATACATCAACGTGGCTCTATCGTCCAGTGTGTAATAATAAATACAGCAATCCATTACAGTTAGTTGTATTAAGTAAATATTTCGGTGTTAAATGCAATGTGTAGACACCCAAATGGATCGAATCCATCCCTCCCGCCCAACAAATCTCGGGCCTACCTGCAATCCTAGTGTCAAAAATGGATGATCGTTTTTAAATTATTTTTAACCTTATCATTACTCTTCAAAAGTAACGAAAACTTAACAACTTCACACAATTGTCAGTGCATGTTTTATTTACCTGTTGTTTAGTCGTAAATAAAGTCCTTGGCCTTGCAGGAAGTGAATCTTGGTTAGATAAAATTGCAGCATGATGACTATGCAAATGAAGACAATGATGCCCCTGAAGTAAATGTAGTTCAACATCAAATATATTGTTAGCATAATGTAAATTTTATTGTTTGGGCAAGTAGAAACACTAACCCTAAAGTGAATAAAATTTATGATAAAAACGTAATGTTATCAAAGTGAATAGAACTTAAATAAAAAGTGATATGATTAAACTAAATTAAACATACTAATACAACGTGATGTTATTAACGTGAATAAAATTATTTACTTTAATAACGTCATATGGTTAAACTGAATAGAACTTACCATAAAAACGTCAGATGATAAAAGATGAAGAGACCCGATCCAGTATAAATTAGATAGATACATAGGATGAGAGTGTTGATAAGAGTAAACATCAGAACACAGAGGAAACAATATGCTGGAAATACACAAGTGGGGAAGAGTTATCGTTATTCGAGCAAGTATACACACAAATGTGGAAGGCGCCATTTTGTTAAGGGTTGTTCCAAACACTCTGTATATATTAAATATGAAATAGCTTATGTTCTTAGGTGTAGTTGTATGGCAGGTGTTTATACGTAGGTTTTTGACTTGTTGGCTGGTTTGAAGAGCGATTTGACGATAAAAAAGCTCATTTTATCTACAACGTCATCTCTAATGATTCTGTTAACTACTACATATAATAAAATACTGCATCACTCAAGGTGTCATTTTTTAACATAGAGTTAAAAGTTTAAAAAATACTAATTAATCATGCTTTAAAATAAAGTATTTAAAATTTAACAGGTATGACTTTTTGTCAATCTTCAGGCTGTCTGCATGGTAACATAATTAGTTTTAAAAATGTAATATTTTAAATGATAGACAATTTTAAGGGGCGGGACTAGAAAAAAAGGCCCCGCCGCAAAAATTTATATATATATATATATATATATATATATATATATATATATATATATATATATATATATATATATATATATATATATATATATATATATATATATATATATATCCTGCTAGCGTCCCACTAATGTGGTGCTTGTGAAAAAATTGCTAAAATATGCTAATAACTATTTAAAGCACGAATTAAGTTTCATTGTGTTTGAAAATGGTTATACTATTTGTAATTGTGCGTGTTTTTTTTGTTTTTTTTTTATAAAAGTTTAATTTAGAAAAAGTTAAATCTCCAGTTTTGCAAGACTTGTAAAAATGGCGGAAAAAAGAAAACACACGCACAAACAAGTGCATATCTTATTAAATATTTATATTTAAACAGCGAAATCAAATAGAAAATTGTAGCAGTACCATCTTGTTATCTTAAAAAAAATAATTAAGAATATAATTATGTTTTTTGTAACTACTTCGTTATATCAAATGTAGAACAAGCGTCCCATAAGTGGGACGCTAGTAACCAATGGCCCCATGTAGTCTGTTGCTAAAAAATCCCATTTATTGGACACTAGCAAGAAACCTGGAGCTAAATTTTTATGTTAAATGGTTAATTATGGTGTAACAATGGTTATCTTTGCTAATGTTGACTTTGGGGTGTGAAGTAGTATTTATAAATATTTAATTATGGCTTGAACTATATATTAATATTGTATTATCGTATAAAATATTGAAATTGAATATTTTTGGAAAAATTTACATTTTTATTTCTTAAGTGTCAGAATTACACTAGCTGAAGTATTCAACACCACTAAATATTATAATAATTTAGTATTACTGTTAATTTACCAGCCAGATGAATAAGAATTAAAACAAGCGAGAACACTGGCTACAATCACGATTTAGGTGAAAAAATTCAATAATTAGGTTCTGTAAGCAACATAAAAATATAGAAATACTGTTAAAATCTCTTCATATAAGAGAGCTGAAGCTAAACATAGCTGCAATGGGACTTAGAGATGTACTGTTGTCATGTTCCAATAATGCTCCCCTCCACAAATTCCCCATACCAGTTTTACTTTGCTAAGTTTAACAAGACTCTGGTGGTGTTAGAATGTGAGCTGTTTTAATAGTGGCCTATATGGATGAAAGGCATGGAACCCAATACAGAACTGAGACTCATCCGTGTCCTATAAATGAGATATCTGCATTACGCTTGTAAATTTCATACAATGATCATATAATAAATGAAGAGGTCTGTGAAAGGTTCTTCAATGTGATCGGTCTTTTTAGAAATTTGCTTAGCATTGTCAGGGCAAAAACACTCCAGATGGTATTGACACACGCCTTGATTCTGTGGTTTTTCGAAGACAATCTTGCAAGGTACACACTGCCTAATAATTAACAACTCTGATTGTTAAATAAACTATAGATAGGGTAATATACAAAGGCGTAGTGATCTATTTCGGAGCCCAGGGCGAACTATCAATTTCGCGCCTCCGCCTCAAATTAGGCCTATATATAACTATTCGAGTTGGTGAAAATGTGCCCCCCCCCCCACCTCCCTCATTTGCAAAAGTCGGGACGCTATTAACCAGTCTCTTTGATTTTACAAGCTTTTATTTAACTCACTTCCTCTGTCGTCCGTCAGTCGTCCGTCTAGATCGAAAAGCCCGAGCGAAATTACTGGCACTTCTAACTGACAGATACGGTTCGTAGTCGGAATGTGGGTCAAGACATATAGAAAATGCAACATTACATTAAATTTGACTTAATTGGATGCCTAATTAATTTTTTATGAATTAATTAAAATTTTGAGCAAGTTAGTAGGCAGTTCTATCCAATTACTCCTCGCAATGATTTTTAGTCATGCAACTCTATTGCATTAAAAATTTAAAGTACGGAAATTTTTTTTCTGTGAGCATTATAGCGCCTCTATTTGTTTTAAGTAGCCAGGGGCCGTACTCGGCGTCTCTGCTCCCAAGAGTGCCCCTCTACGTCAATGACGTATTTAGGTGAATGATTAACGTAAGGTTTTCATGCTGTAGTGTAGGTAAACCCGTGTCCCTATATTTATGATCCAAGCGCAGGCATTGTTTACATTTAAATAACTCAGTTTTAGAAAACAAGGTCACGCGTCCTAGAACATAGGGTAACGCATTGATGAAACCCTTCTTATATATTTCATCAGACTTCCTTCTATCCCCGCGGCAACGCGCAGGGACGGGTACGCTAGTTTTAAATACATTACATTTTATAGCAGTGTCATTCTTTAAAATACCGTGTGTAAATAATAATTAAGAGAAGCTGTTGCTTTTTGATTCGCTAAGTGCAAAACTATTTAAAGAAGAGCATTTAATCATGAAAGTGGTTTGAAGATTTGCCCCCCCCCCCTCCCCGGCTGGTCTGGTTGTCGATGAGAGAGGGGGGGGGGGTAGTCTTGCCCCTGCCACAAAATAATTTTTAAAACCAATTTTTTTTTAAATAGAACTTTCGAGACTATTCCCGCTGAGGTCCGTTGAGAGAAATAAAATACAAATTGTTACATTTAAAAAGATCAGTTGAACAGCGTATTGGGTTAACCTTAATCCTAAGCTTATTATGCAATTATGTAATTAATAGTTACTCACCAAATAAAATATATGCCACTTGATAGCCGGCATATTTGAGGCTTCCTATCTGAAGGTTATATAAAAATAAATCTTACGCAACAATTAGTTTAAAAAAAAAGGCAGTTATAACAAAAGGATTTCAAAAGCACTAAAAAAGTAAAAATAACACGACAAAAGTGAGGCGCTATGGAAAAATAATACGTGTTTGCCCCCATCGTTGAAAAAAATGTTTTTGTACTTTTATTGCTTAAACAAGTTTCCACTCATATATGCGATTCTCTCCTCTCATTTAATTTTGCGAATGTTCTGTATGATAGTAGTTCATATTTTCCCTCCCTGTATGGTTTGTCATTCAGTCGATGGAGGTTTAAAAGTGACTGGCCGAGGCTTTAGTGTCCTTTTTAAAAAAATGTTTTTGACTGAGGACGAGGATGTAGATCTTGGCGAATGGAATTTGCAGTGGAGGTGTGTGTTTATTTATGCAAAGTTTCTTTTTCCTTCTGACTCTGTGTGAGGTCAAAGTTATATGTAGATATTTGAAAGAGGTGTGATTAGTTTCTATGTATTTTCTAAATCCATGAAGGCGTGTCTTTCATGCCTAGTAGTTTAATGTATTGTTTAGGGAATAGTTCCTATCTATATATATAATTCTCTTCTGGGAGACGCTAGAAAACAAGCTGTAAACGCGCTCCCTACCACCCCACCCCTACATGGTCTTAGTGAGCTGTATTCACTCTAAATGTTTACAAGCAGAGCCGGGTTTAGTGACGACTATTAGGGGCAGATAATTTAGTTTGAAACGATTTTAAACGTGGGTGGGGGAGTATGTTCCTTAACGTGCTACTTATAGTGTTTTAAAGAAATATTTCAGTGGCAGCGTTGGTACTGTCGAATTCACAAATTATGAATTACTGAAAAGTAAAAAAAAAAACAACAACTAAATAGCGGCGTATGTTATGCCGCGGGCCGGCTCGTACTGATTATTTTATGTCTTATTATAATAATTCTCATAGTGTTTATTATAAAAATTAATGATTACAAAAATTAATATTAATAGTTAAAAAAAGTTTCTTTTCCCAAACTTATCATTTTAATTAATGTGATGTGATATAAACAAAATCAAATATCACCTTTCACAAAAATATGAATTGTCTATGAAAAAGTGTACAACTTACGTCCCTTAGTTTCTTTAGTACAAATTACTTTCATTGATAGATAAAAAAAAATAACGACTTCCCTTAAAAGCAAGCATTACATCGGGAGAAAATAATTTTTATTAGTTTGTTTTGATGTTTGAAAAAAAAAATTGCATGGATTGATAAAATGCAACGTGGTAGGTAAAACCGGTGTATTTTAAATACTACGTTTTATTCGTTTTAGACACTAAATGTACTGTTTACTAATTATAATGTTCATCAATCATAATAACTTAGAAGCCGTTCCTACATGTCCTCTATGTTGACTTTTATATTTCCTTTTGTGGATAAGATGAAGTATTATAGTAGTGCACTAAATTAAATCATTTGCGCCCCGGCCTATCCTTTGAGTGTCGTGGTGCATATGTTCGTTTTAAGGAGTGTGATAGGCTGTGAAGAAAAGGGGTTACTTTAGTCGTTCATAAAATTGAATCCAGGGCGTACTCTGGCGCCCCGACAGGGTGCTATTCGACGCCCCATTGCTTCCCGTGAGCGATATAGCGCCTACTTTCGGCTTAGTAAGTTCAATAGACTATGGATAAGATGGGTTTTTATAGTAGTTTACTAAGGTGAGTCCCGTGCTATACTGGGATATATATATATATATATATATATATATATATATATATACATGTGTGTGTATGTGTATATATGCGTAGGGGAGAGTGTTGAGAAGTTTGACTACGATTTTACCTCTCATCGAAAATAATCATTTATCTTTTATCCGTCCAGAATAATCCTAAACTTTCCAATCACTTAGATATATTGTTGTTAAAAGGAACGACGTAGTTATTAACACTCCGGAATTAAATGTAGACTAATATGACAAAAATTTAGAAGTCAACATATTTTTGAGATTTTGGACAGGGTTAGTGCACCAACTTCTTAGGCTACATGAGTCACTTTAAACTCTGCTGGTAGAAAAGACTAACCCTAACCCTAACCCTTAGGCTACATAAGTCACTTTAAACTCTGCTGGTAGAAAAGACTTACCCTAACCCTAACCCTTAGGCTACATGTGTCACTTTAAACTCTGCTGGTAGAAAAGACTAACCCTAACCCTAACCCTTAGGCTACATGTGTCACTTTAAACTCTGCTGGTAGAAAAGACTTACACATAACTTGGTTGCTGTGCCAGCTGAGGCAGGCGGTACCTTTGAGTAGTCGCCCTTGTATAAGCTGAACATGTTAGATCTGAAAGTGTGTTAAAAGAAGCTCATATCAGTTCTATGCACTCTTCCATCTACCTATTTGTTCCGTAGTCACGAACCGTCTGTCGCTACAAGTGTCAATCGTCTTCCTCCCTTTCACGTACATAGGAAATATTCTTTATTGTTTGCTTTGTATAGGGACTCAAAGAGTTATCTCTTCATAGTACTCGATTTTGGGTAGACTAATTACTATTTACTAAGCCTAATAGACTAATCTTGATTTAGCACCAATCCATATATCATAGGCCTATTTACTTTAATTGCCGAGAATATTATTGAAATTTAATTGCTTAGTTAAGGCTAGGTGCATTATGTTAAAAACACATCCTTTATTATTAAACGTGTTATAGGCTAAAAAGGGTCTACATACATACAAAATGCATTCCACTGGAATTTCCAGTAACATCTACATATCAGATGAAATAGTTGGAGACTAAAGTGAATAGAATCTTACGAGGCCTACTAGTAGCATAAACACAAAAAGTAGTGATTCTGAATAGGAAGAAACAGTAATGGCATCCACAGACAGAAAAGTAAGTAGGGCTATTTTTAAATTTAATTAAAGTAGTTGTCTTCAAATTAAGTTATACGCTACAGGGCTTTTATGTAGAGCCTGCATACTTAATGTTTTCTGTGAATCAACAAAAATAAAGAGCCGCCTATAGCACTTTTCAGAATGGTTTATGGACAGGGTCTCTGACTACCAAAAGTAGCATAACAAATGCGAAATCTATTGTAAAAACCTTCTAGGGTGCTCCGAAATTCAATAACCCTTCTGAAACAAGGCGGATTTCTCAGCTAGTAAATTACAAATTATATTTTGTTTTGTTAATTATAATGTGGTAAAATAATCTACTGTTGTTAACAGAATATTATTTAACACGTTTCTATGCTTGTTCTGCTACATAGGCCTACATATTTGCTTAAACATTTCATAAATGTATGTACTTTTAACCAAAACTGTAAAAAAATGTACAGACTCATTTGTACTCTTCATACTTTCTCTAATCGTTTAAGGAGGAGTTATCATTAATATATTATACGAGAAAAATGGTCCGTTGAGGAAGGATACAACGGACGCTAGGTTAATAATGCTCTCTTTTCTCTAAACTAAAACCAAAACCAAAATCACCACCTTAATTAAATTTAACCGGAAACGAAAAATGACATTGAAAACGGATTTTTATCCAGAATCGGTACTTTAATAGGATTTAAGCTCGATCTCTACGTAGTTACTGCACATTGATACTAAATATAGTTGCAGCCATACTCCTAAACCTTGCAACTAATCTCAATCTTGACAAAAGTCGCATTTTGAGTTTCTTTTAGTCAAATCTACTTGCCCCCCCCCCCCCCGCACACACACCTCAAAGCACATCTACCGTCCCATTCAACGAAATAGAATTTATATAGAAAATAGGCGTTCTACCGTGGGGGGGGGGGGGGTTAAATCGGCTTCGCATGAAAGAAACTGCAAGCAAACCACTTTTTATATTAGACATATTAATTAGGCGGTAATTTTATTATAGAGTATCGATGACATTTCTTTTGAGTAGGGGGGAGGGGCGGCTTAGACGTTCTTACGCGAAGAATTGTATGAAAGAAACTCTTCTCACTTATATTAGACAAAATTGGCTTTTTAATTCAACGTTTTCTCGAGAATCAATGACGTCATATTATTGTGTGCACTCCACCGGCTGTAGACTATTTTCTACTATATGCTCCATGTGACTTCACGTTTTGTTTTCGTTGTACTATGAACGTTTTTATTCTGCTTGTGTTTTCTCTATAGCAACCTTTCGACTATTTTCTACTATATGCTCCATGTGACTTCACGTTTTGTTTTCGTTGTACTATGAACGTTTTTATTCTGCTTGTGTTTTCTCTATAGAAACCTTTCGACTATTTTCTACTATATGCTCAATGTGACGTCACGTTTCGTTTTCGTTTTACTATGAAAGTTTTTATTTTGCTTGTGTTTTCTCTATAGCTTTCTTGTCAGATAGATAGATACACAAAATAGATACATAGACAGACAGCGAAACTATTATTATAGATTATGGTGTACAACATCCCGTTGATTCTATTTCTGGACTTGATGGTGGTACCCAATGTCCTTCTTGTTTTTATGTACGCAATTCCTTTTTATTTTATTTATTCAGGTCTACATTATCCCATTTAAAAAAATTAAGTTTCTCAAAAAAAAGAAGAATGGGTATTTTAGCGCTTTGAGCATGAATGTCGGTCGTTTTCCCTACTCAGAACATCGAGAATATAGCCAGTCGATTTGAGTGTGTGTTGTTGGCACCTTGTGTCGGAGGTATTTGTCTATTTATGTATATTGTTATTATTTTACCTTGATAGTTAGTTTAGTGTTGTTTTAATTGTGCATGAAAGCGACTGCCTATATTTCTCGGTTTTTCCCCCCACTATAACGAGAACGTGGATTCGGGTTGGTCGGGTTAGCCCGGGGGTGGGGGGGGGGGGGGGGGGGTTGGGTGAGGGGTGCCATGCGCGTTGATGAATTAGTCTGTGGTTAGTGTCTGAGGTTTAGGTGAATGTGTTGAGGAGGGTTTGAATGTGTGAGTGTGTGTATTGTACTTTATTATTATTATCTTTTATAATTTTGTTATGGTGGGTTGCTCACTACAACCACTTTATGATATAGTTTTCTAGGTTTAGTTTAATTTCTATTGCTTCGAGCTTTAGTTACTTTAAAATTTATGTATTTTTTAATTAATTCAACGTAAATATTTATTGTTATCGTGTTCTTAGTTCTCTCTTCATTTAGGCCTTAGAGGAATGTGTTTGTTTATTCATACCATAATTAATAATTATGTTTTAGTGTGTTGATTGTGTAGGCCAATTGCTATTGTCTGGGTAATTTGTGAAGGATAAGCTGGTTCTTCCGGAATTTTGTAACACGTTACTTTTAATTGTTTAGCAAATGTGTGTGCTATGGTTGCGACTATTTTGAGGGTCTTGGTAAGACTGGTATTAAATTAATGATAAGAACCGATTTTAGTTTATTAGATTTTAGAAGTAGTGTTAGCAGTATGAATTAGTATTTTACTCGAGCTCTCAGCTAGTAGTCCTTAGTGGTAGTTAGTATTAGTACTTTAAACCTTTTTCTAAATCCTGTGTATATCAATGAATATATCTTTCTTTCTAATTATTTGTGATTTTTTTATCTTCCCCCCCCCCCCCCATTCCCTTCAGGTTGTTGTTGCATCTTGGCAGGGGTTTTTGTTTGGTGTTTGTTTCGTTTCTTTTGTATTTTGGTATTTTATTTACTTAGATTATATATATATATATATATATATATATATATATATATATATATATATATATATATATATATATGTATATATATAGGCCTATATATATATATATATAATTTGTTTCCACAATTTTTAAAAATAAATTTACATTACGTTGGTTATCTTTAATGGGTCGGCGTGGACGAGTCGGTAAAGCTCATGGTTGCTAAACCGAAAAGTCCCGAGTTCGAACCCTCGGGCAGCTAAGGCTCGTTAGTTAGGGATTGCCACTCTTCTAGGAGAGACAACTCCAAAATCAAACATCTGCTGCCCAACCCTAACCCGAACCCTAACCTGAACCCTAACCCCAACCCTAACCCTTGGTTGGACAAAGGCTATGGAAGCAAATCCAAAAAAGAAAAGCAGGCTGAAATCGGAGTCAATGGCCTCAATGGCGCATTACCAGTTGACACGTATCCTTAATTGTGATGGAGGCGTGGTTGAGTCAGCAAAAAGCTCATGGTTGATAAATTCGAAAAGGTCTCGAGTTCGAATCCTCTGGCAGATAAGGCTCAATCCCTTGCAACACTAAAAATTAAGAACGAAGAAGAAGAAGGGTTTTTTTTTTGTTTTAGTTTAGTTAGGTGTTTACCAGTCTCGGTTTAGCCACACATGCTCTGACACCCACGAAAGTTGATAGTCCTAAAGGATGGATGACAGTAGGGTTTTAGACACCCCTAAACTCCATTGCTAGGGCTTACACAAGGAAGAAAGTATTTAAAATGTAAGAAGAACAAAATACTATTTTTAAAGAAAAATTAATATTAGGTATAGCTAATTAGCTCATTTATGCCTTTAGCACAGTAACAGCGTTCAAAGTTTTCAGCTGGAAATAATTTTCGATCCAAATAAGAAAATGTAAAGCTTTCTGGCAAATGAAATTTTGGATGTCTGTCAACACGATATACCGATAATTTTGCTAGTTTAACTTATGGAGAAAGGTCAAGAGTCTAACAGTATTCTGTTATGAAAGTTTTTTAAGTCACAACATTTCCGTTATAAATCCTTACCCATACATCAATATATCATTACATCTTTCATAGCCAAATTTAATCAAGATATCCAATGTTTTTTAGAGTTTTAATAAGTAATAGTTGATTATCTAGTTTCTTTACTGCAAATTGTTTTTTCTGTCCTTTTTTATAAACTTGCATATTATTTAAAAAAAATAAATAAACCAGGAAACCTTAAAATGAAAAATATTTAGCTATAATATGGCATTGCTTGTAAGCTAAAGAAACAATGTATAGATAGATAGACTATGTTTAATCTATTATATCTGTATTTGCTATAAAATAACGAAGTGTCTTTTCCCAGTCGACAGGGTATCACCGTTTTAGAATTTTTCTCAGTCGTAACTATTTTAAAATATATTTAATAAAGTGATTTTTTTTTAATAACGTTAATTGTGGGCATATTTACAGCAAAGAAAAAAATAATTTAATAATTTGAAAAAAATAATAATTAAATAAAAAATAATTAAATTAAGAGAGAAAAAACAACTTGAAAATTAAGAGGAATAATTAGTGATTACAAGGGACATTTTGTTTCACCTGATATTTATTCTATGTACATTTTATAATGGTAACTGACAGTTAAATAGCAATACGAAGTACTAACTAAACTGATGCATAAGCATTAATTTTAAAAATTGCTATTAAGCCCTCCTTAATTACTTTAGATTAATATTACATAATCGATCGTCAAGTACGTTGCAGATTTAAACCCAAACTAAACCGTAATACTTTATCTAACCAAATACAACACAATAAAAATAGCACTGCTCTCTTAATTCATACCACACTCTCCAGTGGCGATAAATGCCTTTGTTATTGTAAGTTATTATTACCAGTCATTTATTGCATGAAACGAGTTGACTGGGAAAGGCCGTAATAAGGCAGATTTTACGTAATTTAAAGTACATAAAGCTAAATTAATTGCTTGACAATTATTACGAAAGAAAAAAAAATTTGGAACCTATATTTTTTATTTATAATTACAGGCAAAAATTTTAAATTATATTTATAGGATTTTCATAGTATTAGTGCCTAAATTCTGCTGAAGGTGTAACTAATGGAAATTGCTTTGATATGAGTATTTTCGCGGATATTTACTTTCTCGAATAGAGAAAGTATTGCAATTGTGCACAAAGATCACGTGAAATTTTAACAGTTTTCATCGTTTAACACCTCAGTACATCATCATATACGGAGTATAAAGGAACTTATTTTAATCGGGCCAAATTTATAAATACAGATTTATCACATTTTCAGCGTTTTATGCGTAATCGAGTAGGAAAAACTAGGCTTTGCATTTCTGTCCGTATGTCTGTGTGTGTGTGGATGTATGTAAGTCTGTAAAAACGATAACTAGAGTACCGTTACTGCTAGTAAAGTGTAAAAATGGGGATTAGACATCAATGTTTAAAAAAAAAAATTCATTAATCGTTTTTTATTTATTGGGATGCTTTCATAAATTGGGCATCGTAGAGCTAACAATAAAAAGTTGTATCAGAAGAAACTCACTAGAGATGTCTACAATGCAAAGTTAACTTCAACTTATGCTATCTGGTATGGGTGGCAACTCAAGAAACCCCCGACTTAAAAAAAAGATGCTACCAATTTTTACTTTCTCGTATACGAAGTAAAGAGAAAGTATTGTAATCGTGCAAAAAAAAAATCGAGATTTTTACAAATCTCGACGTTTTACACCTGCTCTGAGTCGGAAAAACATAGTTCTGCAACCTTGTCCGTATGTCTATGTGTGTATATGTCTGTATCTGTGAACACAATAACTTGAGTACCGTTACAGCTAGGTTGATGAAAATTCATATACAAGTATAATATCAAATGTGTAGTACTGTATTAACTTTTGAGTGATTTCGGGTAACCGGAAGTGGAACATATTCTAATTTTGATTTTTCAAAAGCCTTTAGCTTGAGTAGTTTCAGATAGATAAATAAAATATCGTGTGTAAGTAAAAAATCTAATTCTCTGCCTTCTGTCAAATTTTGAGTTATTTCCGTTGACTTGAAGTAGTAATTTACGATATTTCCGATTTCTCAAAAATTGCATATAAATTTAAAAAGTACTAATAACATTCCGCACTATTATACACATATTGTTTGGAGTTTACTTGGTGCGGAATTTCATTTTTCTGCGAGATTCTATTCTATTGTTAAAAGTTCAAGTTATTAAATATGGATAAAAAATCATGTCTATATCCCGAGTTGCCATCCCCCGTAGTGTTATATACGAGTATTTGAGAAAGTTTAGGGGAGATCACTCCCGGTTTATTAAATTTCTTACCGAAATTTTGCAATCATGTGAAGAATTAAAATCGCTGTAAAGGCAAATGCGACAGGCACAGCAACCAGAGCAGAGTCTACAAACAAGAAATTATATAGGTCTAATAATCATTTGATTTTGATATATATATATATATATATATATATATATATATATATATATATATATATATATATATATATATATATATATATATATATATGTAAACAATCTTGAGTTTTAGTAGTATACTAGACTACCCGTCATCCCATGAAAACTTGAGGGTTTTGGGGGTCACGTCTGTCACTTAGACAAAACATGGGCCTGACCACACCAGTGTTTCTTCCAGACTTTTTTCTCCGGGGGGGGGGGGGCACTTGAAATTTTCGGGGGGGGGGGGGGCGGTAGACTTTCTACGGGGGTGCGGACACTGTTAAAAGTATATATTTTCTATATAAATTTTATAAATGTAATTTCGTTCGGGGGGGGGGGCGGTAAAAATTTTTGCCCCCCCCCCCCCCGAAGGGATGCGTGGAAGAAACTCTGGACCACATTATCCTTTCATACGCTGATGTCACATGTGACCTACCCAACTCCACTTCACCTGCCCAGTGTCCCATCTAGTCTCAGACAACATGTTTTTAACGTTTAAAAAAAGATTCCGGCCGAGCATGGTTCTGACTACACTATCCCTTCATATTCTGATGACACAGAAACAGGTGAACTCTACTTCCCCTGCCCTGTGTCCCGCCAAGTTCCAATAGGCACCTTTTTTTATTCATATCTTAACAAAAATTGAAACAAAAATAACAAAAAAATTAACAATGACTTGTCGAGAACCCGTGCCACCCGCATTGTAACCTAATACGCTAACATCTAGTACTGTTAGGAAGGTATTAACTTATATGGTTATTTTTAGTCTGCGTAAGAAACTTCATTTACGCAAATAGTCCCTAGATCTAGATTTCAAATTAAATTGTATCTTAAATCAGCCAATTCCATAGCTAAACAAAGATCCATATAAATAATGAAGGTCTGAAATAGTTTAGTATAGAAACTCATTATTATCTAGATCTGGATAGTAAGAGTTATCTAAATTCTACGACTGGTTTGGTTAAGTCGAGTTTTCTTCTATATAGGTGAAGTTAAAAAGCAAAGATTTATATCAAATATTTAAGGACTAAAATAGTTTAATAAAGAAACTCAATAATTTATTCTGATTTTAAAATGCTTTTTAATTTTAACTAATTAATTTTGGTTTGACCTCGATTCTAGATCTATAAATAACTTCCTTCGACCGATGATCTTTAGATTCTAGATCTAGAGAAATTAATTGTATACTTAAATGTAAAGGACTGTTGAAAATTGATATAAGTGTTGGAACGTAATAAAAATAGCAAACCGACGTATCGTTAAAGCTATAGCCGACAGAAAATTAGCTATATAATGCGTTATACTTTTGAATTAGCAACAAAATCTTGTATGGAAGCCGCCAATATTGTTGTAAAAAGTAAATAAATCATGTGACGTTACTATTCACTATAAGTAAAGTCATTGTTCTGAACTTTTAATCAACCAATGAATGAATCAATAAATTAATTAATGTCTTTAAATTAATTTGTGATTAGCAATCTGTTTAAAAAAGAAAATTGTTCTCTACCTAAATACTATTTTACAGCTCTACACATAGTGCAGATTCACTACTGGAACCAAACGGACAAAAAAAAAAACAACAAATAAATATTCAAACATGTAAACAAACTTGAGTTTTAGTAGTATATAGATAGATTAGTCAAAACAGTACCAATAAAAACGCGGCTGTTCAGTGGTATTTATGTTGTTTTTTCAAGTATTTTGATAATTTTTGGCCGATTAAATTTTATATATTTCATAGCGTACGTCTTGATAAATAGATCTATAGATCTAAATCAAATTTAAATGAAATAGTTCATTTCTTGATATTGTAAAATTGGAAGATAACGCCATTAGTTTTAGTGTTCTTTCCGTAGTTTAAACACGTGACATGCGACGTCATTGCTTTTGCTTTCTTGTCACAACAAAAAACACTTTTCCGATTGCATAATAAAAAATGTGTTTCTACATTCGAATATGCCTTTATTTTTAATTTCACTCTTTAATTAAAATTTAGTCTATACATTTAAAACATCCAACTTATTATTTTCAACAAAAGTCCATATCTTTGAGTTCTCCATACTGATCACAGCCTCAAAAAGGTTGCGGACATAGAGAAAGAGAGAGAGCGAGAGAGAGAGAAAGAAAGAGAGAGAGAGAGACGTGCGCACATGGGCTTTTAAATATTAGGATATTGTTTGCCTGTTCTCTTGGTGCGCAATTCATTTTTTTCTATGAGATTCTATTATATTTTTAAAACTTTAAGTATCTAAAAATGGATTAAAAATCATGTCTATATCCCGGGTTGCCATCCCCGTAGTGTCATATAAGAATATTCGAGAAAGTTTATGGGAGATCACTTCCCGCTTTATTTATACTGCTTTTCAATAGGTAGAGTGGTTATTTTGTACAAAACATTAATCAGATATTTCAAAGCAAGAGAAGTGCAAACAGTTTTGATCTAGATTCTTCGACGGTAAAATGCGTTGGGATAATTAATTTGTTAAACTCTTTCTATCTAGAATATTCATAAAAGCTAATGCTATATGTGAGTGGCTGGAGTGTCTTAATATAATTATTATCTGTAGCTATAAAGGCGAACGTATAGTTCGAATGTATACGTTCGTGCTTTTTAGTAAAAAAAAAAAAAAAAGATTTTTTAGTTATGTAGTCTTGTATTATGGCGCCTCTGTGTAACTGTTAACGTCGTTGTCTACGACTAGTCTGTGTATAAAAGTTCCCTTTCAAACCTAGGGCAAGTGAAATAGAGTGGTCAGCACTATGCCCAGCCGCCTTTACTTACCCTAACGTCGGTTAGGTAGCCATCAGAGCTGGGTGGACTCAGGGACGGTCTACTGACTTTGTGGTGGATTTGGCCGTTCTATTATTATACACTGACGAGAAGCCACGCGTTGATTGTTAACTAGTCTTTATTCAGCCATGATGGAAAGAGGAAGAGGAAGTGACGAGACATAAACATATATATATAACAAGGGACATCACTCAAGATAACATTATAAATATAATACTAATACAAGAAGAGTGAGTTCCCTTGACTTCACAATTCTCAATATATTACAGACTTGAACCCGGATTCGAACTCGAAACTTACGGGTTAGCAGTCCAGCTCCCTACCGCAAGGCCACCCCGTCCCATGTCTGTCTGTATTTTGTTTATATTGTTGTCAAAAAATATGTTTTCCTTAGTTTGTCATAGTTCTTATTCGAATGTTAAATAAAATAAGTTGACTAGAAATCATTTTATAATTTAACACAAAAATAAATATTTGAGAAAAGTATTATTTAAAGAAGTGGCTATTCGGACCCGGGTCCAAATAGCCCCGGCCGCTATGTAGTACGCTTTAATAGAAGCATTATATAACATTTGAACTCACAATTACCCCAAATCCATTTTTCCATCTTGTTGGGTTGCTGGGGGGGGGGGACTACGACAAATCTTGACGCGTTCAAAGCAATGATCTTGCTTTAACGTATGCATACACTATTCGCAATCTGACCTCACATTGACCCTAGCTTTACAGTGTCGGTATTTTTCTCGCGCTGGCGAGAAAAGGTGAGCGGGAGATCAATGGAGCAAAGATGTTTATAATTGGAATGTTTAAAAACCTAAAGCTAGAAAATTATATATATAAACTAATTAAAAAAACAATTTTAAAAATGTCACCTATGCAAACAACTCAGCTATCGAGATAAAACAATAAACTTAGTTAAATACACATTACTTCTCGCAAAAACGAGAGCTTAGATTGGTTCCGATCCAATAATTGATCGAGATTCGGGAGGCACTGCGTTCTCCACTCTGCCATAACATTTATAGGAAAATCATAGATATGTAATGATTTTGTATACCAAGCTAAATCTATGGTATTTAGAAATAACAACACAAGAACTAACGATAGCAAATCCGAACAACTAATTACATTAAAACACAACAAATAAACCGGGAGTGATCTCCCATAAACTTTCTTAAATATTCTTATATAACATTACGTGGGATGGCAACTCGGAATATAGACATGATTTTAAATTAAACTTTTAAAAATAGAATAGAATCTCGTAGAAAAAAGAGTTGCGCACCAAGCGAACGCCAAAACAAAATATGCATAATAGTGCGGAATATTATTAGTACTTTATAAATTTACATGCGTTTTTTGACAAATCGGAAATAGCGTAAATTACTACTTCCGGTTAACGGGAATTACTCAAAAATTGATAGAAGGTAGAGGATTAGTTCTTTTACTTACATGTGAAATTTCATTTATCTATCTGAAATAGTACTCATATTATAGGCTTTTGAAACATTCAAAGTAGAAAAAGTTCCACTTCCGGTTATCAGAAATCGCTCAAAAGTTTATCAGGATGTACGATTTTGATAAAATACTTATATATGAAATTTCATCAACCTAGTTATAACAGTACTCAAGTTATCGTGTTTACAGACACACAGACACACATACACACAGACATACGGGCAAGATTGTAAAAATATGTTTTTCCGACTCAGGGAGGTGTAAAACATAAAAGATATACAATTAGAAAACAAGGGTCGCTCTAAATTTAAAAAAAAAATTCCATTCGATACACGAATAAATCAGAGGTCCAACACACGAGCTGGCCCCATTCAGTTTTCTAAGTGAGAAGCACACTCTCTTAATCTAGTCCAACAATCCAAACTGACGCCGATTTTTATGAGGCTTTCATCAAAACGCTACCAACCGTGTGCCCTGTTTTCCAGAAGTTGAATTAAATGTTAACAATGTCGGCAGTTCATTTCTTGGATCTTAGGGCGCGGGTTTGTCCACACTACCAACTAGACACGCCAAGGCATGCTGTAAGTCCCTCGGCGACGGCCCAGGTGTCAGGGGAGTCACGGGGCTCTTGGGAGCTACCGGTTACATTACTGCACAGATGATGGGTGCGACACATTGTTTCTTCCGGCAGAGCCTCCCCCCCCCCCTTCCCCGAAAACAGTCTACCGCCTCCACCCCCCCCCCCCCCCAACGAAATGGAAATTTATATAGAAAATATATACTTTTACCAATGTCTGACCTCCCCCCCCCCCACGAAAATATCAAGTGCACCCCCCCCCCCTAGTGCTGTGGAACTTTTAAACGACTGTATGTTGGGGGGGGGGGGCAACCTGCTCATATGCGATGCGCTCAGGATGACACTGCCGCCGGTGGATTCAAGTTGTAACCTCATCCGCTTATGCAGGATCTTGGGGCGCTAAATCACATATTTCCGTTCGGCGTCCCCACTCCAATATGTAAACAAATGTTAGGCCTATGACAGAAACCTTTGCGGGGCTGTACTCAACAGCTTCCCAAATTTTTATGGCAATTGGGTGAATGATGCAGTAATGCATAATAGACATGTACAACTGTATGTGGCCAGCTCACGCGTCGGATAACCTTCTGATTTAGGGGGGGGGGGGGCGGCGGGAATCCACAAATGACGTCACATTTTTTAACGACTAGCAAAAAGCCAGACCCTCACACACACCCACCTCAATGACGTCTTTTATAATTAGTAATGGCTATTAATAATGTTCAATTAATTCTAAACGTTCTAATTAATTTCTAAATAATTATATAAAAAATTAAAAAAAAAAATTTTACCTTCCCTCTTTTGTGAAATAGATGTGCCTAATACTATGCAAATAAATTAATATCTGTTAAGTAGTGCTGTCTAGAGTCTGACAAAATGTGCTGAAGTGTGAATCGTACGGTTAGGAAGTAGTTCATAAAAGATACATTGATCTACTCGATACTTGCGAGGCTAAGAAAGAGGGATGGGATGGGGGTCGGCTCGAAAAAAAACTTGAAAGAGACAACAAAATGTACGTCAGCATCACCCATTTGTAAAACTTACTCAGGGGAGATAATTCCAACTATAGGCCTTACAAGTTTACTATGATATTTCTTGTAAAGGAAAAACAAGTAAACGTATATAAAACCGAAGTTGCTAGTATATATTATTTTTTATTATTTGTAGGGTACAAGATAGTACAGGATAAAATTCAACCACTATCACAAACACATATTAACATTGAAAAATGTACAATGGATTTCGGGTCCCTAACTAATGCCACCAAGAAGAACCGCGCATAATGAAAGCCTACTTCATATGTAGCGGCTTCTCGTGATATGGACTTTGTTGTTTTTTTTAAAGAATTTTGCCGGCGACAGCGTATATTTGATTGTACGGAAATAGAACTCGGCCTTGACGATGGTTAAAAATACAACTATAAATAACTTTTTAAAATATATTAAAAATTTAACGACAATTTTGAGCCCCCTTTTTGGTCCCCATCCCCTGCCCAATCCGCCACAGTACACTTTGGAGGATCGGTCAAATAGTTACGTGTCCTCTATTTAGCTATCAAAGGGGGGCAACGAGTCAAAGAAGTCATTAAAATTTGAAGAGTTGCCTATATTTTACACTGTAGTTTGTGTAATGGATTTTATTTTTTGCGGAAGAGCGTGGTAAAGTGACTGTAAAATAAAGATAATCGTACCGCAGCTACAGTGTTTTTCTTTTACAAACCAAATATCAAGGCAAAAATGCACGAAAATTAAATTCAAAATTTTAAAAAATATTAATCATATTCAGCCGTGGGCCCCTAAACGGCCTGGGCCCCCCCCCCCCCCCCCCGCTTTACGGGGTCTGGCGGCACTGTAGTTCCGCCCCTGTCAATGATATATATTTAAGAAATACCCAAGTCAGAAGTTTGACCTGCGGAGTAACAGACGAGGATTTTGTTACTACCATCTGCAAAGTCATATAAATAGTAGACCCCCCCCCCCCACACCCACTGAACATCTTTGATACTTACATGATATACACTCGCAGATTGTGTAGGCCAAGTAAAGGGACGAACGCTGAGCTGTCAATCTTGGCTCTTCGCCTTCAGCCGCGGTGTAACCAATGACATCAATCTGTTTTTCAATGATATCAATGGCGTGGCTAAGAAACGATAAGATCACAAACATTCCTTCCATCGTAGCCTGCAGAAACACATTACGGTTAGGGTTAGTGGACAGAGAAAAGATCACATTCTTTCTTCACTGCAGTCTGCAACACTTTGTTTGGGTTATATTTAGGGCTAGGATCCGGGCATGCTTAGCCAAGATGTAATCATTGTTACGAGATTCTATTTAACTAGCTTTCCTTGTGTGTTATTCAGTAGCGGAACTACAAAAAAAGGGCCACCCTGCAAAAAAATTTTTTGGGCCCTACATATATATATATATATATATATATATATATATATATATATATATATATATATATATATATATATATATATATATATGAACATAGAATACTCAACACGGGCTTGTTCAAAATTTAAATTAAAAATTCTTAGTTGATATTTTTAATTAAAACATGTTACAATAACACATCATCTGTGTGAGTGCGATTAGCCTGTTTTGAAATTCTTTGTTTCAATTTCTGACATAATGCTTCCTAACTTACAAGTCGGTCAAAAGAATATGAAGCATGAAAACTTTAAAAGTGAAATGGTTTCTCGCCTAATGTTTATTTTTATGTTTTTTTTTTTGTGTTTATATTATTAGTTTTTAATACATTTCCTTTTTATACTATGTCATTCTTTATAGCGTTTTTTTTTAAAATAATAATTTAGAGAAGTAATTGCTTTTTAATTTGTTTAGTGCAAATCTATTACACGTTTCTTAAGGTCACACATATTTGAATATTTAAAAAAAGGGAAATAAGTAATGGAAGAGGTTTGAACATTTGCCTTTTACTACAACTCATGTAGCCTATATATTTTTTCCTTTACGAAACAGCGTGTGTTAGCTACTAAAGAACACCACTACTGTAGTAGATCTGTTTGTTTTTTTTACAAGAAAATTATTTTTTTAACTATTAAAAAAATTGATTATGGTCGGCTGCGGGCCCCTAAACGGCCTGGGCGCCCCCCCCCCCCCCCCCGCATTGCGGGGTCTGGCGGCACTGTAGTTCCGCCCCTGGTGTCATTATGTAATAGTGCCCTTAAAGGAGAACATTACTTATTTCTTTTAAATATATTATAATACTCTACTATTTAAATCTCAGTGACATCAACCGTAACGTCGGTTATAACAATTAACAATGTCTTGGCTCGAACTTTTTTCTATTTTAATTCAGTTTAATTAAGTTTATAAACTTATAAGTTTATATATATATATATATATATATATATATATATATATATATATATATATATATATATATATATATATATATATATATATATATAGGCCTATATATAAAGCTCAATTAAAAATTAAAGTTAGCCTAATACAAATAGAAAAGCATTTTTTTTTTTAAATTTTACTTAGCAAGATGAAAACATTGAATACGGCTAAATCCCAAAGAACGAATAACTAAATTTTTTAATGGGTGAAACTTCTGGGCGGGGAGACAGTTGGGGTACATGTTGTGTGTGTGTGTGGGGGGGGGGGTTATGCCTTGCCCTACAATAGAGCCTCATCCGGTTTTGTATTACTGTATGGGACAGCGGTAACGCCTTTATTTATAGGCTTCTTCTCTCTTGGCCTGTTTGGGAATTCCTATATTGCAATTAATACAGGCGAGAGTGTGCTTTAACTAGAGATGTTTCACATTTTTAAAATCTCTAAACCACTCGGTCAAAAGGTGAATGCTTTAAGGAGATGTGATGCTAGACACTCTAAAACATCGGTACGTGTCTAACCATTCACTTCACTATGTCAGACCCTCCCTACAACTTGGACGTGTTTTCCCAAATTTAACACCCAGGTAACGCCTTCTGTCTAGTTCAGGTGGGGGGAAATCCACTAGTGTGGACCATGGCCTGAACCCACCCCCACATTTCATTACATCAATTTGGGCTCAATTACTGTACATATGGCTCTACTATTAGTTGAAATATAACTGGGTCTATATTATGTACCCCAAATTAAGATAATGAGTAGGTGCTTTGGGGTGGGTGAAAGTTGGTGGTGTGAGGTAAAGGATCACGCAGACTGTGCATTTAAATTTATGCTTGTCGGATGGAAAAAAAGAGTCTCCAGATTCGAGTACAATAGGAGGTTTGTGTCTAAATTGAGGGAGGGAACCAAGTGACAGCCAGCTACACCTTATTTATGTGTTACCGGACAGCCATGAATTCCGGTAATTAAGACGTGTGAGACTTCAGGACAACTTTACAATGAAGTGAACTCGGCCCAGTGTATCAAAACAGTACGCACTTTAAAGTTTGTATTTAATCCCTACAATATTTAAAAAACAAAAATCCATATGGTCATGAATATTATAAAGAATATCATTGCAATAAAAAAACAGGCTATGTGCTTAATCACTCTACGAATGCCGTTACGTCCATCAAAATGAATATGGGCATAATTATTGTATGGAAGCCCTACAAAATCATGCAATAAATAGAAACATAATAAAGATGTCCCGATAATATTTAAAACGAACATGGGCATATAAATACTGTATGTATGCCCTTCAGACATTCAATAATGAATATAAGCATAATAAATATCATCCGATAATATATAAAACGAATATAGGCATAATTGCTGTAATTATATAAATACAAACGTGAATACAAGTAAATTGCTTTAGAGATGCCCTGACGATATATAAAATGAATGCGGACATAATTACTGTATGGATGCCCTTCAAAAGTATTATGATGAATATAAGCAAAAATTACATTAACGATGCCCCTGCAGTGTATAAATTATAATCATGGGCTTTAATTCTCTATGGATGACTATAAATGTATAAAATGATTATGAGCATGTTCTCTAAAAGATGCCCCTACCTACACTATACCTAAATAAGTATCAGATACTCTATTAATTGAAAGACTGCAAATATTTATTCGGGGAATATCAGTGACTACTATACCACTACACTACCCTTCACCGATGCCCCTTTCTCCCTGAAGTGTTATGACACGGACAGTACGATGACTTTTGTTGATTGTAAATACACATTTCGGTGAATTCGGCAAATTGATAATTCTGCCTTGGTAGACAAATCTAAGAAGACTTTTAACTTCCCTAAAAAAAAAAAGAAAAAAAAAAGATTTTTTTTTAAATTTTTTTTACCCCGTTGGGTGCCCCCTTGATGTGAATGCCCGGGGCCTGGGCCCCCTCCGCCCCCCTCTGCACGCCACTGGGTTGGGGTAATGAATATTTTGGTGATTTCAAAAACAATGTGAATAGAGTGTCAATTGTTTAAATAGCTATAATTTCTGAATGCAAAAAACCAAATGAAGATTTACGTTTTAAAACAGTTTTACGCTTTTCTTTCTCACGAAGTGTGGAGAAATTACTGTTACCCGCGCCAAAGCTCGAATCTATGACTCGGAAAAAGTTTAAAATTTTTCTCTTGGTATGTGTATCTGTTTAAACACAACAACATGATACATTTGATAACCAGGTATTATATCAAACGGTTAATAAAAACCCAATACTTAAATACCGTTCATAGTAGATGGACGAAATTTCACAGTTTAGTATCGGGTAACAACCGACATATCGACGCCACTGCTAAGATTAACGAATTCATAAAATATCTTATATATATATATATATATATATATATATATATATATATATATATATATATATATATATATATATATATATATATATATATATATATATATATATATATATATATATATATATATATACAAAACCCTTACTCACCATGTAGACCAAGCTAAAGGCTACAAATATTGATGAGATCATTTTTGTTGGGTAGATAAAACCTGACGGAATTAAAAAGGAAACATTTGGGATAGCATAGTGTAAATTATTCATCGCAAAGTGTGTCTACAAAATATCAAATGTAATTTAAGACCTAAAATAATTTAGTTTTGAAATTTGAATTTTTGTAATTCGTATCCCAGAGACGCCACCACCCCACCCCCTCTCTCCCCCACTCATTATTTTGAAAAAAAGTTGGTAAAGTGCGTTTTAACGTCACTACAACACGCTTTAATGCAATTGGTTTCTTTTATAAGTGGTAAAGTGTATTAACTCAATAATCCAGTTGAAATCCTTCCGATTTTAGTCGGCGAAAAAGTACCACCCCCCCCCCCCCCCCCTAAAAAAGCTGAAAAGTGGATTTTACTAGTCACTGTTTCTTATGAGTATATGTTTTACAATTACAAAATCAATGTAGAAAACAGTTAAATCAATATGTAAAGACTTGTAGCAGATGCATTTCCTAACTTGGACTCTGTATAATTCAAAACTGCAGCTTGAAAGAGCTTTCAAAAAAAATTTCTATCACTTTTGGGGCCTCCCCCCCCCCCCCCCCCCCCCACCCACCTAGGGTTGGCGCCAGGGTATTTCGGGTTAGCTGTCTAGCGCTTTACTGCTAGGCCACGCCCTATTGTCCTCGACCGTTACTTATTTTTAAAGGCTGCAAGTATGAAAGTTGTTCACACCTTGAAGAGACTTATAGCCTACAATATATATAAACCAAAAACGCTGGTGCGATTCAGTAGTATATTAGATGACAGTTTCCTTTTGGAAAACGGTATGTCGGCTGCAATAGTCCACACAAATCGCACTACGACCACGACAACCCCACTGTTATTTAACTTCTTAACTAAACAAACTCCTGAAAAACCTCACTCAAAATTCCACATATCTGCTAAGTAAGAACAAATGTAGATTCTTAAAATAATGAATAGTTAATATTTCACTCAGTTTTCAAATTAATTGTTAGTTTACAATTATAAAAACGACGCAGGAAGCGAATCCAGTTTAGTTATAAACATGACTCTTTAACCACAATTTAATAACTAATCCACCTACTAGAACAGGGGTCTCCAAACTACGGCCCGCGGGCCGGATGCGGCCCGCGAGGTCCTCTCATCCGGCCCGCGGATATCTTTTTGTCCACGGAAAAGATTTTTGTTGGAGGTAGCTGAGGAACTTTGCCAAGAAAATTCAAAACAATTTGAAAATGTAGCTTTGGGTGCAACTACCATTGCCCGCCGTGTTGCAGACATTGGTGAAAACATCGTAACTCAAATAGTGAAAAATGCAAAAAAGTTTCAGAATTTTTCAATTGCAATGGATTAGTCGCTGGACAGCTGTTCCACCTCTCAACTGCTTGTATTCATTAGAGGTGTAAATTAAGACATGAATATAACATAAGAGCTGGCTTCCCTACATAGCATATATGTCACTTTTACCGGAGAGGGTATATTCAATGAGTTTTAAAAAATGCTGATTATCACTTGGACTGGACTAACCTCAGCTGAATGTTGATGGAGGAAAGTACATGAGTGGCATAAAGAAAGGCTTAGTTGGACAAGCGAATGAGAAAAACATTTTACAACCAGTGTTCCTGCACTGTATTATTCACCAGCAAGCTTTGTTTGCTAAATATATGGACATTGGTAGTGTACTGAATTCTGTGGTGAAGATGGTGAATTTAATAAAGCCACATGGGCTCAACCATAGATAGTTAAGAGACATGTTGAAAGATACAAACACAGAAACGCAGCATTTACCATATTATACAACAGTAAGATGGCTAAATTGTGGGAAAGTTCTAAGCAGAGTATTTAAGTAAAGCAGGGAAATAGGTGCCTTACTGGAAACCATTAATGTCTCATGAAGAGTGGTTATAGAAATTGACCTTTGCCGCAGTCATAACTAGTCATTTAAATTTTCTGAACCTAAAACTACAAGGAAAGTAAAATCTAGTTTCTGTTCTATACACCCACATAAAGGCCTTCAGATCCAAACGGGTCTTGTTTTTGGAACAAGTACAGGCCAACAACTTGACGCTCTTTCAGCAGTGCAAGGTCTTCATGGCTAAAGCAACAGTTGAATCATTTGCATATGAGATAATTAAAGACCTCCAGCTGCAGTTTCGCCAACTCGTAGAACTTCCTAGGAGAAACTCAGGCCCCCGACCTGATATTTTATAGTTAATGCGGCCCTGGGGCTGAAAAGTTTGGAGACCCCTGTACTAGAATATAAACAAACGTGTACTTAACTGCAGGTAAATAAATATACCAGTGGCTAACTTCTAGTGTATAAATTAATATGCGGCTAACTTATCGTATATAAATAGACGTATATCTAACTACTAGTATATAAATAGACTTGTAGATTGTTCTACCGTGCTCCTGCTCATAAACGATGTTCATCATCATAGTCTTTATTTGGTACCCTGGTGGCTGGCTCTTGATTTTTCTGAAAGTTACGGGACAGGTTAAAGCAGATGTAGAAACTCTTAGAAATTAAAAACATTTCAAATGTTTAAACCTGTCAAAGGTGTTAGCAAAGGTGGTAGCAAAGGAAATGGTGCTTAACCTGAGAACAATATCTCTCAGGTTTATCTTAGTTAAAAGTGGCCCTTATTTCGGAGTTTTGTCTAAATGAAGAACTGTTTAGCAGATATTATTTACCGTAGTCAATTTTGAAAACATGTGTATGAGGTTAACTAGCCACGGCATTATCTAAAAACATTATTTTTAATAGTTGACACAACTCGGAGGTTCAATAAGGTCACCCAAAATGTAGGTTGTCGGATGTCTGTGTTGACAATATCTTTGACATGGACCTTCTCTTGGCTTGTCAGAAAAGCATTTTTTCTTAAAATAACAATAATCAGTTAACTTTCTAAAAAAATCTTGTTATGAAAACTAGCGTGCCCGTCACTGCGCGTTGCCGCGGTCTCAGAAAAATGTCGCACACAATATATTAAAAGGATTCCATCAATGCGTTACCAATCCTGTATTCTTATACGTGTGACCATGTTTTCTAAAACTAAGTTATTCTTAATGTAAACAATGCCTTCGCTATATTTATAGGATCATATTTGTTGGGGCACAGGTTTGTCCACACTACTATGGCGTGCTGTCTGAAATCCTCGAGTGTGCGTTGATCCCTATTTCTTTATAGTGAGGTAGAAGAAACTTCGCCCAGGTGTCAGGGACGTAGCGGGACGCTAACTAGAGCCACCGGTTACACTACCGCAGGGGCGCCGCGTAAGGCCTCTGGCTCGGTTTTACCAACAAATGTCGCGTGCCACCGTGTCAATATTGTACGGGGCTCTTAAAACGAACGTATGCAACATAGTGCCGCTCCTCCCCCCTCCCCTCCCCCCCCCCCCGCGTCGCATTTGCAGATTATAGAGAATAAAGGTAGACCCTACTTGTAAAATCTAGACGGTTTCTTACTTTCGACCGCTTAACCTCAATCATGTAGCAATATCGAGGACTAGTTCCAAAGCAAATATGTTAATAAGCAAGTTCCAAGGATGATTGTGGGCCAAAATAATTCCCGGAATTCCTTCCTGGATTTTCCGGAAAAGCCAAAAAACCTCGAACAAATGCAGTTTTTGTTCCATATCTCGGCAACCAGACCACTTAGCGACTTGAAACATTTACCAATCGATTCCTGCTATAATTTAGACCAATATTGCCGAAGAAAGTTTTCAAAAATATCCTTTCGTTCGGTCGCAAAAAATTAATTAAGAACATTTAAACTGAGCATCGTGTAGGCCTAGGATGATATTTACTACTTTCTTAAACTGAGCATCTTGTAGGCCTACTCGTTAAAATAAAACTATTTCCGTTGATATAGGTTAATATAGTTGTCTTTTTTTAAACTTATTAATTCAAACGTTATTTTTTTACCCTATTAATTTATTTATAATTTAAAAAATTAATTAAGGAAATTGCGCTTAAATTGTCACTAGACTTTTTATTAACTTGTTTTCACATTACCAGCCTCGGCTGATTTTACGTACTTAAAACGATAGATTACAAAAAATAAACTAACCTCATAAAGTAGAATAAACTCAAATAATAAAAATATGAACCAAAAATAATATTCTGGATATTATCAAGTGTTAATGATAACTTAAAAACATACGAAATCACGTTCCTTGGACAAAACAAAATAACGTGACTGAGACAGAAATTCTCGGTTCAAAACTGTTAAGTCTGCGCGCGCTTAGATAGTCGGTTTGGCAGTGAGAGTTTTAGAAATAGCGAAAATTACTTACTTTTAAAACCTGCTATAATTTTGTAAATATAAACACAAATCATGTTAAAAAGCTAGTATAGTGGTATAGTCGGTAGTGTTTCTTCGCACATAAGATTCTTAAAAATTGTAATTAGAGCGATCAAGAACAGAGTTTCTTCCAGGCATCTCCTCGGATGGGGGGGGGGGGCGAAGCCCCCCCTCCCCAAAATTTTTTTACCGCCCCCCCCCCCCCCCCCCCGAACGAAATGAAATTTATATAATTTATATAGAAAATATATACTTTTAACAGTGTCCGCCCCCCCGAAGAAAGTCTACCGCCCCCCCGAAAATTTCAAGTGCCCCCCCGGAGAAAAAAGTCTGGAAGAAACACTGATCAAGAAATAAATAATCAGTTTTTTTTATCTCCCCTGTAAAATTTACATTTTCGGAGTTAGAGGTTTGTGATCGAGACTATCAATATATACAGAGGTGTCGCAAGGCGAGGGGGGGGGGATGCGGACCGTACCGGATGACACCATTTAGGGGGTGACAGCATGGCGAAAAATTGCAAAATATATAAAAGAATTATGCATTTTGCCAGTTCAAATAATGATTCATAGGGTTTATTCACATGTATTAATAACTGACTGTGCACACGTTAAAAATATCACGGGGGTGGGGGTGACACCTAATGAAAAATGTAAAGAGGAAAACAGGTTTTGTTTAATATTTTGATTACCTAGTAAGTCAATCTACGACCGTGGTGGGGGATGTCACCAAAATCTAATCACCAAGCGATGCTTTGTAAACATTGAATTAACTAGTGTATTGATATAATGTGCGAACAAATTTGCGCCATTTGGCAAAATGGGAGGGGGTGACTTCGATTACAAATATATATATTTAGGTTTTTGTAGACATATATATATATATATATATATATATATATATATATATATATATATATATGAGGTGCCGCACCGGTGACACCCGACCTATCGACGCCGCTGGATATATATATATATATGTATATATATATATATATATATATATATATATATATATATATATATATATATATATATATATATATATATATATATATATATATATATGTATATAAATGAAGTAAAATGTATTGCCTTTTTAAGCAGTTGCCTGCTCCCAGACCCCAAATAATCTGGCTACACTCCTACTTACACCTATAGCAACACATAATATTTACTAATAAAATATCTTTGTTTAAATCAAGATGTAGAACAGTTTCTCACATGTGAAAACTAGAGAAACGAAAACAACTGTATTATTTACTTGTGTTCATAGTGTTTCGTCAGCAGCTTGCGCACGTGTTTGCCTTCAAAAGATTCTCTGATCTCAGACAATTTCTCCACCACTTCTTCTTGCATTGCCACCAAAATCTTTTTCTTGTAGGCTTCTAGACACAGCAGCGGAAATTTGATCGAGAGGTATAGTAGGAAAACGTTGAAGGGTAAAAATCTTAGCACATATAGCAAACGTCCATTCTTGGTAGTCAGTGAGTTGGTGGGAAAAATAAATTTAAAGAAGGTTAATATTGCTTTAATAAAATTACTGATGTAAGATAAATATATTATTGTAACTTTACCTTATAATGTTTCGAATAGATATTTCTATAAACAAATAAACAAACAAATAAACATGAATTTTCGAACACGACGAAAGTTAAAAAGTGATGTGCCTTAATTAGATTTAATATCTAAATAGGACGAGTCATTTTTGTTTGTGAAATAAAAACATACATATGTCCACTGTCCAGTGGTTCTTTCGGGCAACTCTTCTAGGGGGGAGGGGGGGCTCTGCTCCCCTCCCCCTCCCGATAAATATCTACCGCCCTCCCCCCTCTCCCACCACAAAACGAAATAGAATTAATATAGATGTTATGGAAATTTTAGTCCACCCCCCCCCCCTCACCCCTAAAATTTTAAGTGCCCCCGGAGAAAAAAGTTTGGAAGAAACACAGCCACTGTCAAGTACCACAGAAATAATGACCACTCTCAAGCACCCAGGAATATCTAACAAATAGTTACATACTATGAGAAATGCTGTAAACCGATGGTATTAAAGTAACGAAGATATAAACACTGTGCTTATCTAACGGATTTTGTTACGTTGTATGTGGCGGAAGACGTGCATAATCTAGTAAAAAAAACTCGACTTCATCGTCACAGTGTACTATTCTTAAAGTGTTTAATATCTAAATTAATTATTTAAAAAATTAATATATATAGTTTTGTAAAAACAATTTTCATTTTACAAACTTATCATTTTAATTAATGTTATTTGTAATGAAAAAATTCAAAGAAAATGTTTCGCCCTTTACAAAAATTGTAATTGTGCCTGAAAATTATTTTCCTTCGTCCCTTAGCACCAATTACTTTCCTTGATAAATTTAAAAAAAAAACAATACATTCCTTTAAAAAAATTACATCGGGATTGATAAAGTGCAATGTGGTAGGTAAAACACGGATATTTAAATGCTGCCTTTTATTTATTGTATACACTGAACTCACTGTTTACTAATTATTATATTTAATCAATAACAGTTTACAAGCCTCTTTTAAACTACCTCTGTGTTTATTTCTATCTTTCGTTATTTTTGCGAATAAGCTGCGTTTTATAGTCGTTCACTAAATTGAAAATAGGCCTTATCACGTTTTTTATGAAAATACATTTTAGCACAACTAGTATGGGCACTCACAACATCCACGTATTTTGTATGACACCGAAACAGCGTCAAAAGCTCCATAAACAATAGAATCCAAACATATAAAGTGCTTATCCCATAGCCCAGACAGGTCTTTATGTTGAGTGAGGCAAACAGAGGATAGAGCCCAAAGCTGTATAGGGCTACATACGATAGCAGTACAATAGCTGAAACAAAGATAGTTAAAACTTTTATGTGTCTACATATAAACGAAATTCTTGCTGTTCGATTATTTAAAAAAACGCAAAAAAAAAAAACAACTTAGTTTACGCTTTATTCTTTTAAAATTACTTGCTTTCGTTATCATTAAAATATGCAAAAAACACAAAGTAAAATATTTCAATGAATACATTGATTTCTGTATTTACATTTCCTGTCCATTTCCCAATTGAACAGCTGGCTTGTCGGCAAGGTTCGCATTCTAGGAATAATCCTTCGGCGCAATTGCCTTTTGGGTAATTTTTCCATTATAGAAAAAAAAAGACTTAGGGAAAGTCAACCAAACTTCTGGAACTGGTTTATACACGTCAACATTACCTTTGGGTTAGGGTTAGGGTTAGGGTTAGGGTTATCTAACCCTAACCCTAACCCTAACCCTAACCCTTAGGGAAAGTCAACCAAACTTCTGGAACTGGTTTATACACGTCAACATTACCTTTCAACCAAACTTCTGGAACTGGTTTATACACGTCAACAAAGTCAACCAAACTTCTGGAACTGGTTTATACACGTCAACATTACCTTTGAATGCCGAAAGCTGGTTATTCTTTCTGTCGATCACTAGAAGCTCAATGACTTTCTCATAAATGATAATTGTTACAACGGCTAAACAACAGCAGAATGGAAGCCGCAGTGTAGAAGTCAGAGTATCAATAGGCCTGGGGATATAAAGATATCAATAGGCCTGGGGATATAAAGATATCAATAGGCCTGGGGATATAAAGATATCAATAGGCCTGGGGATATACAGATATCAATAGGCCTGGGGATATAAAGATATCGATATGCCGAGCAATTTCAGGGTATCGATAAGCATGGGATATCAAATTATGGATATGTATTTGGATCAGTAAAAGTATATATATATATATATATATATATATATATATATATATATATATATATATATATATATATATATATATATATATATATCCGTACCATTATTGGTGTATTGAGGTGAAGGCAAGACTCATGAAAATAGAAAAATCTTTCATAAACAAAAACGTTTGCACTCATTGTTGTAAGAACAAAGCCCTGACAAAACTTGAATAGCCTTTACTTACATGACCAAACCATATCGTCCTGGGAAGATTCTTAAGCGATTTTGAAAAACACTCATTAGAGTAATAATTATAATCTGAAACAAGGAGAATGTCGTTAACAATATCCTCTCAGCTTAACTATGTGGGGCAGAAATTCTTTGACTGAATTCCTATTTACGGACTTTTAACGACATACTTTAAAATTTGTACTCATTTTTTACTCACTGTCAACTGTTTTATCACGCCTGAATGAATGCTACGTATGAGTGTCGACCACGGACTAAGAAGAGGAAGATAGGTGTATTTCTACAAGCTTTTATTAAGTTCGCAACGTCTATTTTGTTTGTTTGTTTGTGGGTTTGTGGCAAATCTTGTATCTCAATTTCGACCCACATCTAATACACCGATTAAGTTTAAACTTCTCAGGTACGTTCCGATTCAATGACAATTCATGAATATGAATTCTTTAATTTAATTAGAGAGTCAGTTGAATTTAAAAATTATTATATTCAAATTAAAAGGGGAGATAAAAATATAAAATACTAGTTAGCAATCACTTCATCAGAGAGCCGTCGAGGTGAACTATCTTCACGCTTGACCGATTTCACGAGGCGCGTTGACTATGAATGACGTAAAGGCAGTTAACTATCTGTTTTAGATCACAAGCTACTGAACCGATTTTAACACAAACATTTTTAGTCTTAGTTTAATTTCAACTGCATTTCGAACAAATGACTAAAAAGTGGAAAATAAAATAAATATAAAAACCTTTATAATAACAATCTTTTAAATGCAATGAAAAGAAGAAAATAAAACAAACTTACTAATGAAATGTTTGGTCGCTAAAAAATAATATAAGTGATCTCACGAGAGACCAAAGCTTTTATTAGTAAAGTTTGTTTTATTTTCTTACTAGCCGTTGGTACCTGTTATACGTAAATTGTATAATGTGCACAATGTTTTTTATATATTAGGATTTTCAGTGCACTTAAAAGCTTGTTAATAAAAGGCTTTTATATTTATTTTATAGAAATTGCAAACTACCGATTGTATTTTAACACAAACATTTTAGTTGCAGCCTTTGTAGTGTCAACTTCATTGAGAAAGAATTAATAAAAAGTGGTCAATAAAAAATAAAATATCATTTTTATAATGATAGGCTTTTAAATCCACCGAAAGTAAAAAAATAAAAAAATAAAATAAAATGTGCTTTCATTAATTTAAAAAAAAGATTGGTTACTTAAGAAATCTCATTCACATTGGCGACCAATGTTTTTATTTAAGAACAAGCCGTTATGAGATGGCCCTTACTCCAACCATAAAATACTACATTTAAATAATTATTAAAACAAGTTAATAAAAAGTCTAGTGACAATTTAAGCGCAATTTCCTTAATTAATTTTTTGTGACCGAACGAAAGGATATTTTTTAAAACTTTCTTCGGCAATATTGTTCTAAATTATGGCAGGAATCGATTGGTAAATGTTTCAAGTCGCTAAGTGGTCTGGTTGCCGAGATATGAGCTAAAAACTGCCTTTTTTTCGAGGTTTTTTGGGCTTTTCCGAGAAATCCAGGAAGGAATTCCGGAAATTTTTTTGGCCCACAATCATCCTCTGATCTTGCTTAACATATTTGCTTTGGAACTAGTCCTCGATATTGCTTCGTTGAGGAGGAGATACGACTTAAAGCTGGGGACACACATCCATCCATCCATCCATCCATCCATCCATCCATCCATCGATCCATTCATCCATCCATCCATCGATCCATTCATCCATCCATCCATCCATCCATCCATCCATCCATCCATCCATCCAGAAATAACGAATTAATAATCGCAATTGTCAGTATGGAAATTGCGCTAAAAATTATGTATTTAAATTTAGAACTTGTACTGCATAAAAGTTAGACTCAAGACAGCAACATGTATACTGATTCTAAAGTTTATTCCTACTTAACACGGTTCGTTTCATAAACCTAATCAGAGTTAAATCGGTGACAGGACAAATGATCTCAGACAAAATATCTCAGACAAAATATCTCAAAATTTTAATAGTATATTGAATGATTTTAGTTGATCTGAACTTATTTTTTATTGACTGTCATATGGTTTTGTTTACTATGTTGAATATTGTTTAATGTTGTTTATCGGCCTATATAATAATTGTTAGAAATGTTTGCCGCATACATTTGTCATATTTAACTAAACATTTTAAAATTAAACTTACTATTATACTATGCGCAGATTAAAGACATAGTGTAGGTGTGTTTGCCTAACATTTGACAATCCTACCATGTTAGGTGGACGAAACTAGGTCAAAGGAAAACAACAATAAAGACACATTTTCCTATCAAGGTGGCCGCCCGCTTTGATGGAAGAGACACGCCTTAAGTGAAAGACATCAGCCTACAATGGACAATACAGCTAGCATCTAAAATCATTAGTTATGAGGAGGTCACGCCTTAACGATCACTTGACAAATGCTAAGTTAAACACCAGCGGTCATCGCGGAGCCAAGTTTGTCGTAGTGTGCATGAAAGCAAAGCAGTATTAGTAGTGATTACTCAGCTATAACCTCTTTCGTTACCTCGCAGAAACGGTATAGGACATTAGTTTCTGGTGAATTTATGTTTATAAAAACCAGAAGTAGAGCAGCAGACAAATGGTTTGGAAATGTGAACTTACAACATGTCGAGCAAGAGTTCACACAATACATGATCATGTAGTATAGGAGAGGTGTGATTATAACAATTGCCGGCAAAGAAACGCAAGCGTTATGTTTGTGTTTATAATGCAATAAAAACAATAATTTTACACCAGGAACGTGAAGACCCGTTCACATTTTTGAAAAAAAATAATGTCGGGTGTTTTGAACATTAATGTTGTATCACTACCGTTACTTTATTTGCTTTATACATTATCATTTATTATACCTTTCAGGTTAAAGGAGTAAGTTTGTTTTAATTTTTACTTTTTAAAATCAAATGCTATTACAAAGATTACGTTTAATAAATCCTTTGATGCTTTGTTAAGTTTAATAAATTAATTTTATTCACAATTATTATGCGTAAAAAGGTAAACAAAACCATATTGACAGTCAATAAAATCAATTTTAAATAGTTCAAATAAACTAAAATCCTCATGTATCTATTAACATTTTGCTGTGAGATATTTTATCTGAGATATTTTGTCTGAGATCATTTGTCCATGATATCATTTGTCCTGATATATTTTGTCCTGATATCTTCCGTCCGTGAGATATTTTGTCTGAGATATTTTGTCTGAGTTCATTTTTCCTAAGATCATTTCTCATGGAACCGTTAAATCATTATACAAAACACAGCTTTCTACTTACTTTTCCTCTCTTGGTGAACAACAATACTTTGCGACACAATTCAAATAGCCAAAATTAAACCATCATAATCAACAATTGCAAAGAATAACGATGACATAAACAAAAAGAAAAACAATTAAATAAATATAATATATTGTAACAACATTTTTAACACACAACGTAAGTTTACATAAAAAGTCATAAGTACCCATTAAATATGAAATATTATGTACAGAATCGACAATAAAATTGGAACTTAATCTAAATTCCTACAAAGTTTAAAATAAGGATTCAACACAAGTTCAACCAAAATTTTGACCGAAATGTGATAAGTTTTGCTCGGGTCTAGGTCAATAACCCCCCAGCTTAATTGCCTCCTGTCAATTACTAGCCTATGTAATTACCCCACTTCAGAATACACATATTAAAAATGCCTATCCCTCTCTTTCCCCCGCAATAACTAACGTAATAAAATGCACTTATTCTTTAACTCAATGATATTTTACGTTATATCATATATATTATATATTTACACTTACCCTCAACCTCATCCTTACTTACCATTACCGTTACCAGTACCGTTACCATTAGAGTAAAAAAACTGAAAGCCATAGATCATAACGTTCAAGACTCACCGTAGTAAATTGAAAGACATAGATCATAACGTTCAAGACTCACCGTAGTAAATTGAAAGACATAGATCATAACGTTCAAGACTCACCGTAGTAAATTGAAAGACATAGATCATAACGTTCAAGACTCACCGTAGTAAATTGAAAGACATAGATCATAACGTTCAAGACTCACCGTAGTAAATTGAAAGACATAGATCATAACGTTCAAGACTCACCGTAGTAAATTGAAAGACATAGATCATAACGTTCAAGACTCACCGTAGTAAATTGAAAGACATAGATCATAACGTTCAAGACTCACCGTAGTAAATTGAAAGACATAGATCATAACGTTCAAGACTCACCGTAGTAAATTGAAAGACATAGATCATAACGTTCAAGACTCACCGTAGTAAATTGAAAGACATAGATCATAACGTTCAAGACTCACCGTAGTAAATTGAAAGACATAGATCATAACGTTCAAGACTCACCGTAGTAAATTGAAAGACATAGATCATAACGTTGTTGCTGTCTTCTGACTGGCACTGGGTCCTAGACAAAAATTATTTCTTTCATAAAGATCAATTTACATAAGATCCTTATATAGCTAAAAATGCTGAAGCATGGAAGAAAAAAAGCCAATAATAATGCAATTACCCACGTAAAGAGAAAATATGTCCAAAATAGAAACAAATTTAAATCAGGGGCGTAGCGAGGGGGGGGGGGCGGGGGCGGACCGCACCGGGTGACACCATTTAGGGGGGTGACACCAAGGCAAAAAATAGCAAAATATATAGAGAAAAACTTGAGGGGGGGTGCAAATCGAAATTTTGAGGTGGGGGGGGGGGGGGGTTCAAATCGAAAGTTTGAGGGGGGGGGGGGTGCAAATCGAAAACTTGAAAGTTTGTCCCCGGGAAGGGTCGCAACGCCTCTTGGGGGTGACACCATTAAGTGCCGCACCGGGTGACACCCGACCTCGCTACGCCACTGGTTCCAATGTTCACATAAAGAAACAATCTAAATCTATGAAAGAAAAGTGGATTCGATCACAATGTCTGTCTATTAATCACACTCTGAACTTTAAAGCGTATTTGCAGGCATGTATCATGTACTAAGCTTTTAATGAGAAAACTGAAAGAAAGAGTAATGCTAACATTTTAGACATAAGGTCTTCGGTGGATAAACATTAATATTTATCTTTGTAAACAAAATTTGCAATTTGGTTACGGTTACGATTTTTAGGATAAAAGAAAACAAAAGCGATCAAGTGAAAGTTAAGGATAATCATACGATAATTGTTAGGAAGATTTTTAGAGATGGGTATGTGGAAGGACAGGGCTAGGTTGGTATATCTTGCATTCTGTAGTGGGCACGCAGGTTGGTATATCTTGCATTCTGTAGTGGGTACGCAGGTTGATATATCTTGCATTCTGTAGTGGGCACGCAAGTTGATATATCTTTCATTCTGTAGTGGGTACGCAGGTCGGTATATCTTGCATTCTGTAGTGGGTACGCAGGTCGGTATATCTTGCATTCTTTAGTGGGTACGCAGGTTGGTATATCTTGCATTCTGTAGTGGGCACGCAAGTTGATATATCTTTCATTCTGTAGTGGGTACGCAGGTCGGTATATCTTGCATTCTTTAGTGGGTACGCAGGTTGGTATATCTTGCATTCTGTAGTGGGCACGCAAGTTGATATATCTTTCATTCTGTAGTGGGTACGCAGGTCGGTATATCTTGCATTCTTTAGTGGGTACGCAGGTCGGTATATCTTGCATTCTGTAGTGGGCACGCAGGTTGGTATATCTTGCATTCTGTAGTGGGTACGCAGGTCGGTATATCTTGCATTCTGTAGTGGGCACGCAGGTTGGTATATCTTGCATTCTGTAGTGGGCACGCAGGTTGGTATATCTTGCATTCTGTAGTGGGTACGCAGGTCGGTATATCTTGCATTCTGTAGTGGGCACGCAGGTTGGTATATCTTGCATTCTGTAGTGGGCACGCAGGTTGGTATATCTTGCATTCTGTAGTGGGCACGCAGGTTGGTATATCTTGCATTCTGTAGTGGGCTAATTACGCAGATTGGTCACTGAGAAGAGGATATTGATCTGGGGTAACAACCGGGTGCGGGTATGGGTGGGTAACGTTTTAGACCCGGGTAGAGTATATCTCATTTCGTTTACAATTTAGACTTTATTTTAGTTACAATCTTACATATAAAATTATTTAAGGGGATATGCATATTTTTTTAACAAATTAAAATCTAAAGTCGTTTGAATACTTTTATCATATTTAGTACATGGAAGTTAGATTTATACATCAAAAACTTGCTTCGAAAGCAGTTTCGGTTGTCATGGAAACCACAAAAAAGCTCCGTGATTTGGAGATGTTGGTACTTTTAAAAACGCTAAGGCTTTTTTTTTTATTTATGAGCTTATAGCAATCAAATGTACACCGCTTATGACGCGAAAAGTTTTTTAAAACTCGTTTGACTGTGCATAAGTTTAATAATTTGCATATTATTTATCATGAACTTTTTTCTTTAAAAGCCATCGTAATTCCCTATCGCCAAAAAATTTTGCATGAAGAACAAATACTCAAAATATGGTGGGTATTGTATTATTTTTAAAAAATTGTCCCTTGTAGTGTTAAAAAACTGCGAAGTGAGAATAACAGCAAAACATATGTCACGAAAATACCATTTCGTGTAATTTGTAAAGCCGATTGTAAGCTTTGGGTGTTTCCGTGTTGACGGAAAATACGTAAGAAATCCAGCTTTCCAATGATGCGAAATAAATTATGATGACGTATGTTTAACTTTTCGTACATTGTAAAAATTAATTATTTTGCAATTAACTGAGTCATGTAAATTGTATTTTAAAACATAAAAAATACATTTTCTCATTAAAGTTATGATTTTCTTAAACCAAAAAATGGAGAAATTATCCAAAAGTACAAGAAATCCATGATGAAAAATAGGAATTTTGAAATTTTTTTATTATATCCCTTTATGATTTAAAGTTAGGTTTTAATTTTATTGACGATAGATTACCAACATGGTTGTATAAATACTCAAAAAAAAAAAATCATAAAAAGCGTTTTAATAAAAAGTAGAAATTAAACGACACACTAATATTTAAATAGCTCATATAGACAACCCATGTAATATCTACATAAAGAGAATTCATGTCGACTAATTTAGAGACTTATTTTACATATAAATCTACTTACAAGACTATCAACGGGTCTAACTGTACGAAGGTTTCACCGAGTATCTCGAAGGTAAGTAGAAGTCCGGCCATAGATCTGGGTGTTTTCTTAAACCCAAAATGAAAATGTGGATACCAGACACAAATCTATGCCAAGCTTTAATTGCTATTAAAATGTACGATTGTTTTCCATCTATTGATAAATAGAAAACCGCTGTGAAAGTTCAAAATAGCTATTTAATATATTTCGCTAGCGAGAAGACATTTTAAAGTTCCGGTTTTATTGCTATTTTGAATGTGTCTCCAAGAAACATACTTTAAAAATTAGGAAATTCTTATTGAAACAAATATTTGTAAATGGGAAAACTTGCTGAAACAAGCGATTATTTTTAAGGTGAATAGTTATATTGAGTTAAAATTAATTCTTTAACAATGTGAATACATAATATCGATAGGTTTTTATAAAAAATTATTTTAACAGTGAGCACAGTGGCACAATCGACGTGCCGGGGGCCGTAGACAGTAAAGCCTGGGGGAGGAGGGGGGGGGGGGCTTACCCCTGGGGCGTACGGGGTTTTTTGGGGTAAGTCTATATTATGTATAGCCTATATATATATATATATATATATATATATATATATATATATATATATATATATATATATATATATATATATATATAGCTGGAATAGCGGTTCACGGTATGCCCATGACAGACTAGCAAACTGGTGATTTAGAATTGTGACATTTTACCCCCAGGGCGGGGTCAAAAAGTCACATGCTTGAGGTGAAAAATCACACATTTTCAAATGTTATACGGTTGAATCTATTTGATCCCAAATTTTTTTTTTTTTTTTTGCTATTGAAGTTTGTATATTTTTCTTCTCTTATACAGAGTATAGAGGAAATATTGTAATCGTGCACAAAAATCACATGAATTTTTTTCATGTCAGTTTTCATCGTTTCACACGTCAGTATTTCATCATATACGGAGTATAGGGGACTTGTTTTAATCGGGAAAAAATGATAAATACAGATTGATCAAATTTTCAGTTTTCTATGCGTAATCGAGTCGGAAAAACTGGGCTTTGCAATTCTGTCCGTATGTCTCTCTCTGTGTGTGTGTGTGTGCGTGCGTGTGCGTATGGATGTCTGTGAACAAGATAACTTGAGTACCTTCTTCTTTACTCTTAATTTTTAATGTTGGAAGGGATCGAGCCTTACCTGCAAGAGTGTTTGAACTCGATACATTTTCGAATTTAACAACCATGAGCTTTGCTGATTCGACCACGCCTCCAACAATATTAAGTATACATATCAACTTGTTATGCGCCATTTAGGCCATTGACTCCAATTTCAGCCTGCTTTTCTATTTGGATTCGTCCAACCAAGAACAAACTACAAGGCAGCAGTTGTTTTGATTTTGGAGTTGTCTCTCCTAGAAGAGTGGCAGTCCCCAGCTAAAGAGCCTCATCTGCCGGGGGGGGGGGGGGGGGGGGTTGGAACTCGACTATATACGGAGTTGCCACCCCCTGTTGTTTCATATAAGAATATTCGAGAAAGTTTAGAGATCACTTCCGTTGTTTGTTTGTTTTGTAATGGACGTCATAAAAGAACTGGGCGGGAGTTCGGGTCTAAGAACAGGAATTCATTTATTGGGGTTTTAATAAATGATAAGAGGGGGGGGGGGGTGAGCATAATTGGATGTTGGTTTGGTTTTTGCAGTGCTGGCGACTGGGTCATCTAACGTTATTATATAAGTTTACTGTTAAACCGTGAAGTAAGTTTAAGGAAACTAAATTGGTATTAAAACGCACTATGCACAATCCAGCAAAACTGAAGCGTAAATGGAGTTGCTTGTAGAAATTTTAAAAATATAACTTTCGCAGACTTACATTAATCAACAAAGCTATACACAACCTACTATAAACATTTATCCTTTTTTAGTCTTCAAAGTATGTTATGTGCATCGACAGCCACGTATAACGCACTTAAAGATTTTTGTTTTACAACATATAGGCTAGATCTCTGTAATACACTGGAAGATTCAAGAACAATTTTAGAGTGTCAATTGTTTCAAGGACTATAGTTTCTGATTGCAAAAAAAAGTAGTTGTCCTTTTATCTGCAGTAAGATGGTTCCAATTACTTTCATCTGTTTAAAAATAATGCAGAAAGACAAAGAAACAAGTTAATTAAAAAGTCTAGTGACAATTTAAGCGCAATTTCCTTATGTTATCCATAACAATTTTAAATCGTCTTCACGTTCAATAGATGCGTCATCACGTTCCATGGCTGCGCCATCACGTTCAGTAGGCGCGCAATGGTTTTTAGTCATATAACTATATTGCTATATAGTACTGTAGTTTATTATGTATAATGTAAGTTTAAAAAACATTTTGTGACCGAACGAAAGGATATTTTTGAAAACTTTCTTCGGCAATATTGTTCTAAATTATGGCAGGAATCGATTGGTAAGTGTTTCAAGTCGCTAAGTGGTCTGGTTGCCGAGATATGGGCCAAAAACTGCATTTTTTTCAGGGTTTTTGGCTTTTTTTGGGAAATCCAGGAAGGAATTCCGTAATTTTTTTGGCCCACTATCATCCTCGTAACTTGCTTAACATAACATAATTGCTTTCGGAAGTAGTCCTCGATATTGCTTCGTTGAGGAGGAGATACGACTTAAAGCTGCGTAACACACACACATCCATCCATCCAGAAATGACGGGTTAATAAACGCAATTCTCCAGAATGGAAATTGCGCTAAAAATGCGAGTCTCCGGATTTATTACTTTATTTATTAAAAGCTATTGAGCTACTTTTTTAACTAGACGCGAGACCTAGACAGTACCAAAATACTGTATCTGGTGACACGTATTTACTCCACGTGTAGGCTACGCCTTCACGCATTCGTGTAGTATACTTTACCTAAACCTTGCAAAAGAAAAATGAAACGGAAACAAAACTGTAAAAGAACTTTAACTAGAAATTTTACTGATACCGGAACCAGAAAAATGAGCTAAATAAGCGCAACGAAAAACTGCGCGAAAAGAAAATGCGCAAACGTAAATCTCTGCACTCAGAAAAATAATTACACACAAAAATGTGTACACACAGACAAATTGCGCAAACACAAATTTTGCTCACAAGGAGAATGCGAAAACAGACAAAAAGTGCAAACATAAAATTGCGCAAATTTTCAAATAAAATTATTGTGTGGGTGTGTGCGTGTTTGCGTCAGCGCAAGTCAATGATTCTGATTGTGTGTATAAATGAAGAGACAAAATTCATTCCCGCTTAGGTTTACTACAATAGAAAAATAAATACTTATTCCTAAATCCAAAGAAACATTCATAAATATAACTAAGATTTTCCGATAACATATACATAGATGCTGTTGGCCGTAGATGATTTGACCTTAGGTGGTTAGGCCGCACGTTATTGGACTTCAACGAGGGTTCACCACAAGGTTAGTGTAGTTTCTTCTCAAATGAGGATCTGATGGCTTGCCTATTTCTGTATCACAATTTGACATATTTTAAAAAAAAAAACGTTAATGGGTACTCGTATTTCAAGACAAAGGCTGGCCTGTTATAAAAACAATTTTACTGCAATTCTCTAAAATAACCCAAATAAAAACCGTTTATATAAAACGTTTGAAAATTAATCAGACTTAAGACAATGTTTTAAATTCTGTTCAACGGATCAGTTAATATCTCCTGACTATTGAAGGTGGTTTCTATAGTTTTCTTCAGCAAAGCGATATCGGAGGGGTATATATGACAGCATCCTCCTATCCAGCGAGCTCCAGCCTCTAACCATTCCTCAGCATAGTCTGATATGTTGTCTTTAGATTTAGACCTGTAATTATTAATTAGTGTAATACACTTTAAACCAAACGAAATGGCTTAAGAATAAACCTTAAGCTGGAAACAATGCACATCTATTGATAATACACGGCCACAGGCCACATTCTAAATTGCCACTGATCAATTGCTACATGGTCACTGGACAGACCCTAAAAACAAAGCTGTTTGGCTAACCACGCTTAACTGTAGCCTTAAGGAATCTTATACTACCAACCTTCCATCGTGTTTAAAGAGTCCACCGTTGGGTTTGACTATGATTGGAATATTGAGTTTGAGGGTGGATATTTTCTGAACAAGTGGCAACACATAGTCCGGATGGACACAGTTTACTCCAACTCCCAAAACGGCCGAACTTTGTACCACAGCTGAAACAGCATCCGTAATTAATTCTCCGTGTGCGGTCATCTGATCGTCCTTGAAATCAAATCAAGTTTAAGATTTTAAAAATCCACTCAACTAAAAATAAAACTATATAACGTACCCGTCCCAGCGCACGGATGCATCATAGCGCTACCAGGATGCATCGGGGCGCCAAATTACAACCTGTCGGGCGCCGGCGAACGCGTCTGATTCAATTTAGTGAACGCCCAATCTTATTCATAGTCTATCGCACTGTTTAAAACTATCGTAGGTGCCATAGCGCTCACGGGATAACCCAGAGCGCCAAATCGGACCCTGCCGGGGCACCACTCTTACGAATTGGAAATTTATTTTTTTCGCACAGGAGTATTCTCAACAACTTCCCAAAGTTTCATGGCGATCGGATGAAAGGTGTAGTAATGCATAAAAGACAGACAAACAAACACACACACATTGCTTTATATACATAGATATATATATATATATTTATACATAAATACTTATAAATATTTATATATATATGTAAGCCCTGCTAGGGGGTGGATCACTAAAATCTATCTACCCTTCCCTGGCTTATCTATTACTGTCCGGTCAGTGCAAGCCCGGCTAAACCCAGACTGGTTAATACCTTAACCTTAGTCTAAATTAGAAACAAAAAACTTAACAATTAATCAAATTTATTTTACCCATGATAAAATCAAAATAAAATAAAGAATAGGTAAAATAAAACTACTGACACTAAACCGAACAATTTACACACAACAAACAGAACATAAAACAGAATGTAACAAAACAATTTAAATACAACAAAACACACAACTTCAGACTACGTCCTAGAAAAGAAAAAAAATGACACATTAATTACCATAAAAAAGGTTATATACAAAGTATTAAACACAGGCTGACTGGATTACATCTCAACAGCCTGCAGGTAGTTCACACAGAACAAACTCCAAAAATATAAGATCTATTAATGTGCACATCCATAGTGGCTTAGAATAAACCAAACACTCTCCTGGGGATCAACAAAGTTCACCACAGGAAGTGTAAGTCCACTATTATGGCTTGACAGTATAAACAGCATAACCAAACCCGACAGTCAGGAATGAACCGTAACTGTGGGTCAGGCAAAAATAACCTTATCCCGGCTTAACACCAGCCCAGGGGATACAATATCTCTACAACTTAACCCAACAGCCAGGAGTAAACCATAACTGTGGGTCAAGTATAAATAAGCATTATCCCTGGCTTAACACAAACCCAAGGGATACAACAAAGTAACAAAATAAAATAATAAACATAATAATATAATAAAACTCAGAATCTGAGTCCACATGGTCAGACAAAAACACAATGGCGGTAAGAAAACAGCCACAGAAAAAGCTTATGGCCAGCAACCAAAAATAAACTGCAAAATAAATAATTTAAACATGGTTTCTAACTTACCAGGCTTACAAAGAACAAATGCACAAATAATGAAAGCTAGATGGAAGTTCTTCTGACTAAGTAGCATCGGATGGAAAAAGGACTGCCTTCCTTACCTCATCCTGTCAGCATACCAAAGTGGACAGAACATCAAGCCGGAAATCGACTTTCACACACCTCACACACTAAACGTAAACAAATAGTTCCTAATTCACAGATAACAAACCAAACGCCACGAAACATGCAACAGAATTATATAAAAAGACACTTAATATAAACATTGACAACAATATAAGCGAAATATATACAAACTAGCTGTAAACAGTGACATAAACAGTTAGACAGCGGCGCCATAATACGGGACTACACAACTAAAAAGTACGAACAGTTTACGAAATGAAACGAAACGATACATTCGCCTTCTAAGTTACAAATAATAATAATAATAACACACTCCAGCCGCTCACACACATATATATATATATATATATATATATATATATATATATATATATATATATATATATATATATATATATATATATGGTGACAGGACTAATGATCTCAGACAAAATATCTCAAGGAGAAATGATCTCAGGAAAATGATCTCAGGAAAATGATCTCATGGACAAAAGATATCAGGACAAATGATACCATGGACAATTGATCTCAGACAAAATATCTCACATCAAAATTTTAATAGTATGTACGATGATCTTAGTTGATTTGAACTTATTTTTTATTGACTGTCATATGTTTTTTACTATGTTTAATATTGTGTATAGGCCTATATAATAATACTAGGCATGCTGCCCAGCTTCGCTTAGGCTTTCGAAAACATTGAGAATTTGAATGCTTAATTAATTCGCCCGAGGGTCGTTCTTCGACCTCAGGAGTTTTGAAGAGGTTCCTACGTGGATATTTTTTTTTCGATTTATAGCTCATATAAGGCGCCGGTCAGTCGAGGTCAGTTTTGACCCCCTCATCGTAGACTTTTCGGTCAACCGGCCCGCGTGTTCTGTCGCCCCAAGGCAAGATCCTGCTAAATTTGAAGCGCCTGCGGCGCCGGGAAGTGCCCTATCGGGCACCCGACAACTTTGCTTTATATATTGTAACCCTCACTCAGTGGGGATGCTTTTACCCACTGTGGTGTTGTGGTTAAGACGGGCTGACCCTGAGATTAAGAACACACCGACACCGACAGTTGTTGTCAAGTACTCGCTTTATTTACAGCATCGAGCCATGACGGCGATGCAACACAGGTAATTTCGCTCACAAAAGCATAAAAAAACAACGTCAACAGTTCAGTTACGGTCCCACAGGGGCCGCAACCCAATGAATAAAAACTTCATATTTTTATCCCCCTTTGGCTGGTAACCATATGTGTTACAATATTATAGAGATTAGCAAATTGCATAGATAAACACAGATTTCAATAAAGTAATTAAGGCCTGAAATACTTTAGTATAGAAATGTATTGTTTGAATAGATTCTAGATCTAGGTAGGGTCTACATCTGTGTAAGTCTAGTTTTTCCGTAGATCTAGATCATCTAGATCTAGATCTAGATACTCTAGATCTAGATGATCTAGAGTATCTAGATGCAAAATTAAAAAAAATAGATAACCAAGTTTGACTTGGTGTGTCTCGAACCCGCACCACCTGCGTGGTTTTAAGTATACTATCATCTCAGTTATTTAGGCACCTTATAAAACATGGAGAATGAAAGACGTATTTTAAAATCTTAACTTACGCGAATATGCCTATTATTTCAAATTAATTTTTTTATCCCAAATTAGCCAGTTCCAAACAAAGATTTTGTATAAAATAATTAAGTCTTGAAATAGTTTAGTCCTAATATAGAAATTTATTTTTGGAATAGATTCTAGAGTAGTTAGAGTCTAAATCTAGATCTTAGCGTCTACGTCTAGTCCTTGCGTTGATTTAGATCTAGTCTTGATCAGAATCTCTAGATCTAGAATCCAAATATATAAAATAAATTTTATGAGTTCAGGCCGGAAAAATTGTATTGTATACATTTCATAGTGTACGTAGATCTAAATCAAATTTGAATGAAATAGTTCATTTCTTTTTATTCTAAACACGGCAGATGACGTCATTAGTTAATGTATAAACATTAGTGACATCACAGTTTTATGCGTTCTTTTTCACATCTATAAATGCTTTTCCTGTTGCATAATTAAAATTGTTTTTCTACATTCGAATACGCCTTTATTTTTTATTTTTCTTCTTTAAATAAAATTGTGGTTATGCATTTAAAACATCTAACATATTATTTTCAACAAAAGTCCGTATAAAGGTATCCATATATCGCTGCCGATTCTGACGTGATGTCCGGCGAAAATATTTTGCGGACAGAGAGAGAGAAGAGCGCACATGGCCTTTTATATATTAGGATTCATTGTCAGAAATGTTTGCCGTATATATTTGTCATATTGCACTTAACATTTTAAAATTAAGAATACTAATATAGTATACTAGATTAAATAATTTTTTTGATAGACAGCGTAGGTGGGCTTGCCAAACATGAGACAATCCTACCACGTCAGGTGAACGAAACTAGATCAAAGGGAATGAAATAACAATAAAGACATGTCGAGCTAGAGTTCACACAATACATGATCACATAGTATTGGAGAGGTGTGATCATAACGATGTACCGTCATCAAAGAAACGTAAACGTTATGTTTGTGTTGATGATGTTATAAAAACAAATTCACATTTTTTAAAAAATATTTCGCGTGTTTTGAACATTAATGTTGTTTAGCTACCGTTATTTTATTTATTTTATACATCATCATTTATTATACCTTTCATGCTAAAGGAGTAAGTTTGTTTTAATTTTTACTTTTTCAAAGCGAATGCTATTACAAAAATTAAGTTTAATAAACCTTTTGATGCTTTCATAAGTTTAACAAATTCCTTTGTTCACAATTATTATGTGTAAAGTGGTAAATAAAACCATATTGGCAGTCAATAAAAAAAAAGTTCAAATCAACTAAAATCATCGTACATACCAGTGGCGTAGGCAGGGGGGGGGGGGTTAGGGGGGGTCATAACCCCCCCCCCCCCCCATAGACCCCTCGGTATATAGAAAAAGTATGAGTGGGGGGTGCAAATCGAAAGTTTGAGGGGTGGGGGTGCAAATCGAAAGTTTGTCCCCGGGTAAAAATTGGACCCCCCCCCCCCCTTGAGACGATCATGGCTACGCCACTGGTACATACTATTAAAATTTTGCTGTGAGATATTTTAATTGAGATATTTTGTCTGAGATCATTTGTCCATGATATCGTTTGTCCTGATATATTTTGTCCTGGTATCTCTTGTCCGTGAGAATCATTTGTCCTTCAGATCATTTGTCCGTGAGATATTTTGTTTGAGATCATTTGTCAAGGAACCATATATATCTATAATATAAGCGGGCTGAGCGTGTGTCAGTCCTTCCTTCCTTCCTTCTGTCATCGCTATAGCTTTTGAAACCATAAAAGTAAACAACGCACCATGCTGTGCTTTTCAGTGCACCGCATTGTCTTATTATAAGTATTAGAGTAGGGTTTGTTTATATAACGACATAGAGCTATTTTATAATTGCCACTGTGTTTACTCTTTTGCATAACTTAAAGAAAATATTAAATACACGCACATTGCTAAAACATATTAAAAGGATCAATGTCAAATATCATTTTCGTTTATATTCCTAGAAAAAGTGGATACATTTTAATAACATAATAACAGTACGGTAGAAAAATCAAATTAATTTAAATCTTTTCTAATTTTGACAAAGGAGGTAATTTAAAAATACATTAAACTCACGCTAATAAAAAATGTGAATGCAAATATACGTTCGTCATAGAAGGAATTAGTGTTGCAATAATATAATTAGCAAAATGTGAATGCAAATTATTCGGATGTGTAAGAGGAAATTATTGTTAGAAAATTATAAATAGCATGGATTGATAAAAGGCAAACTTTTATTTATTTTATTCACTAAATGTAAGCCCTACTGTTTATTACCTATAATTTTTAA